AATATTATTATTCATTATTGCAGACCTATAAATTAAGGAAGGCGCGCAATACGGACATTGTAAAACCATCAGATTACAGTAACAATCAGTCAAAAAAAAAATTCCGATACTCGCCAAACTTTTAAGATCGCGACCCCTTTCAAATTTTTACGCAACTTCTGTAATGTCGCCCCCTGTTATGCAAGCGCTCAGCTCATGTATTCTCACTAAATCGTGAGATTTACGTTTTAGTTGTAATTGTATTTGAAAGTCTAAAAAAGTACAATAGATATTTGTGTAAAATAGGCGACCCCTCTAAAAGTTTGAGAAAACCTGATTTAGATGACTGTTAAAGTCGGCTTGAAAACGAGTTTCAGATCTCATATGTAAATTTAATTTTCAGTCGATATTGCAGGGTGTCCATGAAGTTCCTTCACAATTTCAATTTTGTTATGAAATTAGTTCTCAATATATTGTAACCAGGTTTATTGTTTTTAATCAGTAATTGTTTAAGTATTTTTAGTGCATTTGATACATCTGTGAAGGCCAAAACCAAATATGGTATCGATGAATTCCCTTTGCAATTTTAAAATTTTTTGAGACTATATGGACACACTACATTGATAATACCCTTCTATGGTATAGATCGGAAAACCATATTTTTAAGTTCTTATGGTTCAGTGATTTTCGATATTAGACAATACTACATTTGCATATTCTGAAACGTGCACGTTTTGTTTAAGTTTGTTTTACAATATTTATTCGATATTTAGCAACGTCCAATTCGCACTCAGGATTTTGCACAATTTGAACAATTCACAATGCGTGCATAAATATACAAGGTCATCGCTAAAAAAACAGAAAATTTATCAAATAGCAATTTATTTTTACAAAAAACAACTTTTACAAAGCTGATTCCTGCCTTCTTCTATGATGTGGGTGTCAAAATAGAAATCAAATAAAACCTAAAACGTATCAACTTAAAACAACTTAGAAACTAGAAAAAATAAAAACGTTTCGAAAAAGATATGAGTGAGCACGCATTTTAATCGTGATCTCATCTGACATTCGAATTTTCTGCTTTTCTAGCGACCACGCAATATATTACAATAATACTAAATAAGTAATGAATATCATTACTACTACACTACACGTGAATACAAAATAAAGTTTCCTTTCCTAAACCAATCAAATTCAACTCCAGTTTGCAATCCTAATTCCTCATTTTAACAATCGCAATTTCACAAATAAGGGTGTTTCAAAATTTACCTAAAATTTCTATGAAACGGCTTACCTTATTTCCGTTGTACAGATCCGTCGCATTTTCGCCAAAAAAACGAGCCACGCCGCGTCACACCTCAACAATTTTGAATGGAAAAACGGCGCGAAAGAGAACAATAGAATACGACAGTGACGTAATACAAGATATATCACTGCGGTCTGTGACCAAATAATATACCTTAAATTCGAATTATGAAGAAATCTGGTATACGATACATGGTATTATTCCGGTCGAACCAATGAAATAGAAAATATGTCCATGTCGCGCAAAAATAAAAATAAAATTAGCAACACAAACATTCCTTTTCCTAAATACAGCAACTTAAATTTTCGTTAGTTGGCAGCAAAGAATACTCAATTATCGGTTGTGGAACGAGTAAAATTATGAGCGAAAGAATTATTTTAGTTCAAATTGGAAATTTAATATTTTTCGATGTTTCTCATCAAAAAATTGGAAATTCTGTACACTCGAAACTGCTGTTCTTTGCGGTTGCTCTAAATGAAACGTTTTCATGTAAATTGTTATGGTATAGTAGAAACGAAAAATAGTTATTTCGTTCATTTAAGACTCTTAGCACCACCGTATTTCATTAAACCGACACGTGGATCTTGAGCGCCACTTGACACGTTTTGCGGCTTTTCAAATCTGAGAGAGAATTTCTGATTGGTGGGAAATAGGTGTCTATTGTTCGGCAACAATATATCACTTTCAATACACTTTGTTCGCTCTGAATGGATTTCTATCAAATGTAAGATAGCGATCTCTCAATGAAGAAACTAACTACGAGACGGGGGACGTACGAAAGGACTTTTCGAAATGCATGATTAAATGAAATAGGTATTTGTTGCGACCAGACTTATTCGAAATCACCAGGGATGTCCGAAACAAATCGAATATTCAGATACATTCGAAATTCATTTTATTCAATATAGGAAAAATTTAGAATATTATTATCTGAAAATTACGGATTTTGTGCTGTCTGATAAACAGAGCAAAACGTACGATATCTCAACGGATAACAAACAACACAGAGAACACAATGATCTTTATATTCATCTCGATTTAGATATCCACATGAGCTTGCCTAGAAAGTATGTAATTCTATAATGTATTCTATATTTCGTATTCGAAATTATTTTTTCACAATGTATTCGAAATAAAGAAATATCCCCGATAGTCATCTATGTTACAGCGGAAGTGTGAGACTCACTGTGGACGTTTATGTTGCATTGACCTATAGCGCTGGCTCTGTATACTGGCTTAACTAGTAAAATGCCGAAAGTATAGGACAATGTATTCAGTTAGATTATCTGGTCTAACTGACGTTCTTTTAAAACTTAAAAAATAACTTGATCTTTTGTTTGAAGCCCCCGCTAAAATAACAGCCTCACCTTCAAAATAGGAAAATGATTAATTATCTTAGGAGTGCAGATTGCGCTGCAAATTCAAATTTTTTAATCATTCCTATCGTTACCTCTAGGCCCAACTGGATGAATACTAATTAGTTACTTCAACGTGGATCCACGAGACCCACAGTGACCGATTAGGTTGCATTGGCCCAGGGCAGATACTGTACACACCCGATCGGGTAAATGCCAAGGATACATGACAATGTATTGAATTAAATTATCTGGTCTAACTCAGGTCTTTCCAAACTTTCAAGCTCGCGACTTTTCCCAATATATTAAAATTTTCCGGGACCCCTGTTAAGTCGGTATTGGGGGCTCCCGAAGTATGCGAACCAAGATGGCGGGCATCGGAATATAATGTGTGTACTAGGTTAGGGTTAGGCCATAATTTTAGGTATAAGTCTTACGGGAGGCTTTTGGCTAGTCTTCGAACTGATAATAGGACTAGAATAAGGAAAATTGGAAAAAAATTATCGCCTAACCCTAACCTGTTACCCATGTTACGTTCCGATGTCCGCCATCTTGGTTCGCATACTTCGGGAGCACCCGGTATTGTTATGCAAGCGCGCCGCTTCTCTGACCCTATGTATTCTCTCGAAATCGTGAGATTAATGCTTTCCACTAGTTTCAATGATTTGTGTTTGAATCAAAATTTCAAAGCAGTACGATAGATATAGTACTTTGTGTAAAATTGTTGTACTCTCTGCGACCACTCAATTTCGTTTCGTGCCGTGGTCTAACTGACTTTCATTCGAAACGTTGAAAAACTTGTCTCAATTATTCTTAATTAACCCATTGTGCGTGCATGCAGGTGTGAAAACTGGTAAACATGATATTTTGCGTCGCCGGCCCCTGAAAAAATTTTTCTGTACTTGATCTATGCAAAAATATATTTGCTAACTTTGCGCTAACAACCTGATTTACATGTTCAAAACCTACATTTTCATTCAAAATATACTTCTTGCCAATGAAGCTTACATTCTTCATGTCTCACTATAGTACAGTGCTACGAAACTTTATCCCGATCGATCTTTTTAATTAGATATCAGAACCTTGGGTGTCGCTTCAGATCAGGGGTTCCCAAACCGCGGCCCGCGGGCCAATTACGGCCCGCGAGACGATTTCAAATGGCCCGCCGAACATTAGTGAAACTATAACCGTGAATAAATACTAACACACTAAAGTTTAGATCCTTACTGCCTACTTTTTTCGGTACTCCCAAAGTATGTGAACCAAGATGGCGGATACCGGAACGTAGTAGGTGTTATTCCAATTTTCCTTATTTTAGTTCTATTACAAGTTCGGGGACTAGCCAAGTGACACCCGCAGTATTTGTATATAAAATTATGGCCTAACCCTAACCTGGTACACATACTACGTTCCAGGGTCTGCCATCTTGGTTCACATACTTCAGAAGTTTCTTTATTTCGGATATTTACGTTCCATCGACGTGTTTTTTGAATAAAACATACTTTCGCCTTACTATCTGTTATTTGTAGCCAGGTATTTTTGAAGTGGGCTCGAGACTTGACAAATTCTAAAAAGAAGGCGTGGTATGAAAACCACAAGTTCAACGGATCCATAATTAGAGTTGGACAGAACTCGCACTCTGTATTTTGCAGAGTTTGTATTGTGGCCATAATTGTGTATTAAATAGAACTTATTAACTAAGTACAGGGCGGTCGCTAGAAAAACGGAAAATTTGTCAAACAGCTGTTTTTTCTCACAAAGAACAACTTTCACAAAATTTTTTAAAGGAATATGTTATATGACACTCATGGATGCCTGAAATGACGTCCGTGCACTTCAGAGCAGTGTCTTAACCTATTAGAACCTAAAAAAAAATAAGAATGTATCGAAAAAGAAACGAGAATATCTGTCGGAGATCGAAGACTTATCGATCTTAGATTGGTAATTAGTTAATAACTCGCTAATTATCCGACATAATTAACCCAAAATCTATAGGCTTCTGGTCCGAGGTAAGATGCATGCACATGCAAAATGGAGCAGATTCAACCACGCGTTCGTGAGATATCGCGTTCATCTAACAGACACACACAGACAGACATACATACAGACAAATACCTATCAATATACTTACCGATCTTAAGATCGATAAGTAATGAGTAAGCATGCTTTTTATTCGTGATCTTGTCTGACCTTCACATTTTCTGCTTTTCTAGCACAACCCTGTAATATTATAAAAGACTAAAGATTGGAAAGCACTGTCTTTTTCGAAGTTCCTCCTCCGGCGAGGCCGGAAATTCTCTTGAGCCCCCTCTAGTGATAAAAAAGAATACTAAACTGATGGTATATAGGTGTTTATTAAATCTTTGTTGTAGTATATATATTTGGTCACTTTCATAAATTGAGGTATGTAGAGTATTGCGTATATTATAGGTGACAATGCATAAAATAAGATATATACAGTGAAATAAGAAAAAGTACTTTTGCAAGAGAAAAGTGTGTTTTTATTCGGCGTTTTAAACTTTCGTCTCGAACAAGCAGAGCTACAAGCACTTGCAAGTCAGTTGCCAATTTTGAACCGAATGCGCGCGATGACCCTGTTGTTGGTAGGGACGTAGCCAGAGTGGTTGAGAGTTGAAAACGAAATAAAGAAAAAAAACATTTCTTCGTATCATACATCGCACTTTTTCGTAACTGGAAATACTATTTTAGTCTATTTCGGACCCGCTAGCTGTATCGGCTTAACTTGGCAATTAGAAATTTCAAGATCCTCCCCTTGTTAAGACCTGGCTATGCCCCTGCCTGTTGGTAAAGCGTAGGCATTTGCCTATCTTGGCATAGCGGATTAAAACCTCGGTGACAGCACATTTGAACCCATGTGTATATCCGCGGGTTCAATCTATATGCGGGTGTTAAAACTCATGGGTTAGGGTTAGTATGGGTTCAAATATCCGTAACACAAAAAAATTTCATAGGTGCAATTGTCGTGGGTTCAAATGTAATTGAACCGAAACCTCGAATTTGAACCCACGCCTCGCCCATGTTGCATTAAATTAATTTAGTAGGCAATAACGGACCAGAAAAGTTTCTGTCATTATAACAACAGTACACCCTTTCATATCGTTATATATCAGTGGTTACTTTAATAAGCGTTGTAAAGGGAATAGCAACTTCTCATTCCAAGAAATCCTGAATTGCTGCTGTAAAACGTTTAATAGAATAATGACTTAAAGAGTAATGTAGAATTTCAGTTGATCAATCATGTAGCACCATGTAAGTCGAGGTGAAATTTGAGTCGATTCAAGTCATTAGGGCTGGGAAATCGGTCAGTGTCGAATAAATTATAGAGCATGACGTCATATGACCAGACGTCACAATAAAAGGCAAAGCAGACGATCTTTGTGTTATAGAACTTGACGTCATTTCCACTGACGTCACAATAAATGGCAAAGCACACCAGCACACTTGTTTTTTGGCGTCGTAAAGCGCAGATGGCAGGCCCTGTTGTAATTCGACCATGAGGTCACAATATAGTTACCATGACAACGCAATCATTGCTCGTATTTTGATGATGACGTCACAAGGTGTGACATCACCTAGTAATTACTGTCACAGAGCAGACCTTGATGAAGTTTGGTGATGACGTCTCAATATAAATATCGCCGAATCTTCGGTCTTGTGCAGAAACTCCACAAAACAGGAGATAGGATTGTTTTTTTTATTGATGACATCAGAAGTACAATGACGTCATTTTAGTTTGCATTCTTTGTGCAAGGATTGTATCTGAACTTGGCATCATAATTACGATGACGTCATAACTTTTTAGTCCTCAGCTTCTGAGCGCACGGTGTCAGTAACAATATTAATCCACTTGTCAGTAACACAGCGCCAGAGCAATAGAAACTTGTGTCGTATGAGTTGGAAGAGTCGGTTATCCAACCTGTGTAAAAAAAATTGATTCTTGGGTTAATATTATTCAATTTTATTACCCAGCGTGGACGTAACAAAATGTGACGTCAGATTGGCGCTGACGTCATATGATTTTATGATAACATTGACAGGACATTGGAAAATTCAAGCTATCGAGAGTCGAATTTACAAGAATTATAGGATTCTATGGCGATTTCTGGACACTCCAGAAGTTTGTGTACCAATACGGAGGTAAATAATTCACTAAACGCTGTCAAGTACTTCAAGTAGTTGACGTCGCATAACCATTTTCGCATGTCATTTCCAACCCCCACCTGAGTACGTCATCCAACGTCACAGTGACTAAATAAGGCCGGTCAATGTATACAGATTGTCGTCCAAACCGCGCAGACGATCACCCGAAATCAAGCGAGCTATTCCTATCATTTTCTCTTAGTAACGATTCCGATATGAGAGAGATCGTGTTTGTATCGTCGGCGGATATGCCATTTCGGGCGATCGGAGCTTTTGTTCGGCAAGCTCTTTGACGTGATTGTGACATCGCAGTGACGTTATTTTTGGATGACGTAGTTAGTTGGGGGTTAGGAATAACATATACAAAAATATTTGTGCCACGCCCACTAGAAGTACTCACGGCTTTCAGTGAAAATGTGCGGAACTTTGGAATAGTGAGGCACTGATGAGCAAGCAGACCTGATATATGACGATATGTAACTTACCAACAGCAGGAGGTCCCAAATATACACCTAAGCCTTCACCAGCCAGCAGGAATCCATAAGCAGCGGAGAACTTTTCGTGTCCGAGTAGATCAGCCGGTATTACCATCATGAGACAATAAGCACCACTGAGGAATCCGAATGATACAGCGAAGACCATGAGAGATGGGAAATTTCGACACAGCGGGCTGAGTAACGTTGAGGTGCCGAAGAGGATCTGTAATGAAACGAAGTGTATGCTATTGATATAGATAGGTAAATTTATTTCGGTTATTTTCAAAATACGATATATCTTTGTAGGGTAAAATGTTGAAAGTAAGACCACGAGCATTCAATCGGAATTAGAGAAGGCTCATCTTTAACACTTGTTATTGGTTACCGCAGAAATGCCAGGAGTTCAGAAGTGATGGAAACTCATCTCTGAGTAGAGTTACGAGACACTACTGGAACGCCATCGAGTAAACTGGAACGAGACTTATGTCGGAACAAGAGCTCAAAGTCGGGACAGGCACAGTTACAGAAGTGAAGATTTTAGTAGAGTGACGCGCGGTCACTCAGAAGCAAGGGAAGCTCAATTTTGAACAAAGTTACCGGCGATCACTGAGAAATAAAAAAAAAACACAATACAAAAAGCCACTGAATCTATATAGAATTATGGCGGTGCTTTACGCGTCCATGAATGTCGATTTACTTGAGATTAGAGGTTGTTCATTTTTGTTGGTCATGATTTATAAAAAAATTTCTCAAATCGTGAGGAATCTATAGCTAGCCCTTCCAAGCATAGCAACCCATTATATATCATCCTCTAATTGGATCTCAATTTTTTAAAGCCGTGCCCGCTTTTTAGAATTTGTCAAATCTCGCGTCCTATCTTGAAAATAACTTGCTAACAATAAGCTACAAATAACAGATGGTAAGGTGAAGGTATGCTTTATTCAGAAAACACGTTGAAAATACGTTGATGGAACGTAAATATCAAAATTAAAGAAATGTAAATATCTAGAATAAGGCCGGCAAGATCAAATATAACAAACATTTTTAATTAGCGCAACCACCCTTCAAAAAATTATCTGCGCCCGCCCGTGAGAGCGGTGAAGGAGTGAAAAATAATGTTAGACCTTACCTGTGCTATAGTGAAAGTTTTTAATGGATTTAGCTTCAAGAAAGTACAAATGGCGCCAAAACTTAGTTTTCCCACAGCACCGGCGAATCCCATGGAGGATACCAGGACTGCTGACTTAAATGGTGTGATACCTGAAAAAATAAATCATTTCAATTATTAGAACGGATTGTCATGAACGAATAAATTATTATATCAGTATGTTTTGAAACAAGAGAGCTATGCTCAAATATATGGACACGTAGCGCCACCCAATGGCAATAATTTTGATGACGTCATAGCGAAAAAAAAAGTAATAGCCTTCTGGAGAAAAATTTTATCTTCAACCACTGAAAATTTCAAAGCCATTGGTCCAGGATTCGAAGAGAAAAGCGATTTTTTAATGATAATGAAAAAAGAAAATAACAATAACAACAAAATTTTGAAACGATCGTTATGGCCACTAAACGTGTCCAATAATATTTTCGATATGAAACATGAAGTATATTCTGTTACGCGATGGCATAGTGGTTACAGGAGTGGGCAAGGATTTTAGAATATGGGCCAAACATTTAGCCCGCGTAGACTGGCAATAAAAGTGTGACGTAACAAGTTACATTTTATGACCAATCTTTACAGTGCAAAAGTGAAAAACAATAGGCTTCGTGCCAAAACTAAATTTAATTGCAATCTCAACAAATTCTTTGAGCTATTTTTCAGCTAAAACATCAAAATTTGGTTTTAGTTTGGTTGTAGTAGCATCAGGCGAGCCGGATTGAATTACTCAACGAGCCGGATTGGACCCGTTTCAGGGTTAGAACAATGATACTTGACCAGAGTTCTGCCGTAACCCAAGGTTATGATAGTAGGTGACCGTACATTTGAACCCCCATGTGTTTGTCCGCGGGTTCAATCTATATGCGGGTGCTAAAACCCATGGGTTAGGGTTAGTATGGGTTTAAATATCCGTAAAACAAAAAAAAATCCATAGGTGCAATAGTATGCAAGTTCAACTGTCGCGGGTTCAAATGTAATGGAACCATGCTAGGGGTTTCGCAAGTATACATTTAAAACATAAATTTAATAAAATGTATCGGGGTAATTATGACGTTGATTTTATCGATATTTACAGCGTAAATTTATATCCATAAAACCTATAGTCGTAATTTCAGCAGATACAAGTAGCAGCACTTCGGTGGGCAGCAATTTGCTCACTATTGTATTAGATATTAATTTGATATCTCAAAAACTTATCAGTAGATAAAACTTACCTAATAATCTCGCCCTCTCAGGCAGATGTACAAAAGGGACGAACTGGACTAACCAGGCCATGACATCTGATACAAACAGTAAAACGAATACAGGATCCCGCCATAAGGATAAGGTTTGATCTTTGAATCTGGTTAAAGAGAAAACGAGAATATCGGTCAGAGACCGAAGACTTATCGATCGAAAATTAGGGAATTTCCAAAACAGCGCTCTTACCCCATAGTGACACCTTGTGTCCCATCACTAATTAATTAATAACTCGCTAATTATACGACATAATTCATCCAAAATCGATAGGCTTCTGGTACGACATATGATGAATGCACATGCAAAATCTGGAGCAGATTCAATCTCGCTTACATGAGATATCGCGTGCATCTAACAGACAGACAGACAGACAGACAGACAGACAAACAAACAGACAGACAAATATCTATCAACATACTTACCGATTAAAATTGATAAGTAACAAATCATGGATATAGATCAGGACTGGGCGGGTTTTTGAGCCAGGGGGCAAAAACTTTTGTCAACCTAAACTGGCGGGCCATGTAAGTGTGCCGTAAAAAGTTACATTTTAAGAACAATTTATACAGTGTTACAGAGTTGGAAGAATTTAACCGCAACAAATTCCTTGAGCTATTTTCAGCTGAAACATCGAAATTCGATTTCGGTTTGGTTGTGGCAGCATCAGGCTGATCAAATTGAATTACTCAACGGGCCAGCTTTGGCCCGCAGGTCGTATTTTGTCCATGTCTGATATAGACCGATAATCAAGTATTTGGAAGAAAATTTTTCAAACTTTCAGAATTACAACGTGCTCGTATATATGTGTGTGATTGTGTGACTACGGACTGTCACTTAACAGCCATTCTACGTATAGTTTAGGGGTAATTGACCCGTTGATTGTTCCGGATGCATGAACCAGGGTGGCGGAGGAAGCTGTAGCCAACAAGCGGAAAGCATAGTGCGAAAGCCTAATGATTTAGTTAAAGCTGGACCACACAAAAATGCGGAATGCGGCTATCGCTTAGCCTTACAGTAACAAAAGCACCGAGCAAAACGGTGAAGAATTCAACAAAGCAATAAGAGCAAAAACACACTGAATTTTATGGTTCCATTACATTTGAACCCACGTACATTTGAACCCATGACAATTGCACCTGTATGCTATTGCACCTATGGAATATTTTTTGTTTCACGGATAGTTGAACCCATACTAACCCTAACCCATGGGTTTTAGCACCCGCATATAGATTGAACCCGTGGCTATACGCATGGGTTCAAATGTACATGGGTTCAAATGTACGGTCACCGAATTTTATCAATGCGAAAGCCTTTTTAAACATAAACTGTAGGATTAGGATTTTATGCTTGAGTGCGACAGGCGGTCCGTGGCCCGCCAAGCCATTTACTGTGGCCTCTTCCAACACTCAAGAATTTCCCCCTTAGGCATAAAATCCTAAAAGGCGTTCACATTGATAAAATATATAATGTGTTTTTGCTCCAGTCGCCGTGTTGAATTCCGCTCACAAGAGGGTAGAAGTTGGTTATATGGCCCGCCGGCAAAAAAAAGTTGCACACAACTGGTTTATACAAATGATATCAGCATAATACAGCACAGTACCAACCTCATTTTAAACATAATTTTCTGAAAGAAACTTGATTTACGTCTTTGAATTGTCTTCAAAGGCTTTGGGTCCGAATTTTGCGTGGAATCGTTTTCCAACGCCTTTGTCAAATTTTGGTTTTGGGAGGATAAGTTTAAAACTATATTTTCAACGTTGCTATGGGAACGTGGGAGTAATCCATTTACGGTATTATGTCCCAAATTGTCTTGATTTTTCTCAATTTTTTGCAATAAATTTTCTTCTTTGGGTATTTGTCCCGCTGGTTCGTTGTTTTCTTGCATAGATTGTGACGTAAAAAAAGTTTGACTATCAGACGTATTGTTCAATTGTTTTTGCATACTTTGTGACATCATATATATTTCGTCACTATTTGAATTGTTCAATTTATTTTGCATAGAACACAATGGGATGCTTGTTTCATCATCAGATGTATTGTTCGATTTCTTTTGCCTTTGTGACGTCATAATATGATCGTCGTCTGCCGAATTATTCGGTCGTTCGTTTGAGTTTATATCGATAGATTTGATCTGGACCTGAAATCATAAAGTCAAAATCAGAAAAGTTTTATTTGGTTTGGAATAGGAATGAATATTTGTTCCCAATCGTCATTTGAATGGCCTCCGTACAGAGCTATTGGTATGTCAAATATAGACAGCTGGTTAGGAATAGGATTGTAAATATATTGTCACAATCGCCATTCGAATGGCCTTCTTCATATAGGAAATATTTGGCTGACATAGTGCAGTCAGAGCATACGGATCGACTAACACATGGTCCGAGAAAAAGTAGCAGTAGTCAGATACACGCTACCTCCATCAACCATATAACGCAGGGGTCGGCAACCTACGGCAGCGGGCCGGATTCGGCAATATTATCCGGCCCGCGAGGCTTCACTGAATTATAGTAACAAAACAGCTGTTTTGACGATTATATTCTTTACGTAACAGAATTTATTGTCAGACACCTGTTGACTAAATTATATTATAACCTAACAAGTATAAAATTCACAATTACTCGTTTAATGAGCGTATACTTTAATTATAATTAGACAATATTTAATTATAATTAGGCAACAAAACGCAGAAAAGTTGATGCTTAGTGCAAAAGGTTCAATGGCGCCGAAAATATTCAAATGAAATTTAAATCTATATTCTTCTATACGAGAGATGTATCACAGTTTGATATTTATTATAAAAAGTATCATCCGTTCGGTTTTCAACTCTCTAAAAATATGTGCGCCCGCCAATGACCTGCAACCTTTAATTTTGGCCCGCGATTGACAAAAGATTGCCGACCTCTATTATAACGTATATAAATAGGTAACCTGAGTGTCTTGCTGCGCACTAAAACAAATTAATTTCTGCAACCTTTCGTCAGACCTTGAAATATATTTGTGCTAGGCTGCAGCAAGACTATTGAATCGCTTAGTCTCAAAAGAAACCTTGATTGACAGCCTTGAAGCATATTGCCAAAAAAAGGTTTTTTGATTTAGCATTTCAGGGGTGAGGTGAGGGGGTAAAATATACCGATAATTTTGTAAAACATATTCGATGTTTTCACTATGCGGAAATGTGTTTTGAAAAATTAAGATATTTGAAATTGTTCCTATTCGGTAACAATAGTTAAATTCCTAGTATTTATAATTACGATCAATCGTTTTTAAATCCTCTTAAAATCAACTGAACTGAATACTCACCGGAGTTGACACAAATCCGGGGTGATGCTTCGGGTGAATCATCAATAAACCTGCAACGCAGATGTTCAGGCAGATCCCGCCTATAATGAGGATTGAACCCTGAATATAGAAAAGGAGTCGTTATATATGCGAAACTCCTGAAGTATGCGTACCAAGATGGTGGACACCGGAACTTAGTATGTGTACCAGGTTAGGGTTAGGCCATAATTTCGAGTACGAGTACTTCGTGAGTCACTTGGCTAGTCCTCGAACTCTTAATATAACTAAAATTAGAATAATTGGAATAAAATTATGGCCTAACCGTAACATGGTGTAGAAGTGTCTAAATACCAGTGATTGAATACCAACGTTGGGAGCCACTGATATTTACGGGCAAACTTTATCGTGACGATGAATAGAATAGAAAACTCGGTGCTCCCGAAGTATGCGAACCAAGATGGCGGACATCGCAATGTAATATGTGTACTAGGTTAGGGTTAGGCCATAATTTTAGGTATAAATACTACGGGTTGCTCTTGGCTAGTCTTCGAACTGATAATAGGACTAAAATAAGGAAAATTGGAAAAAAATTATCGCCTAACCCTAACCTGTTACCCATGTTACGTTCCGATGTCCGCCATCTTGGTTCGCATACTTCGGGAGCCCCGAAAATTCACTATATAGAAACTCTTGTTATCAACATAATCTAAAACCAGGCCAAACGGACAATAATAACAACCAAAATTGCCTCGTTTTGGGCAAATATATTTAAATCTTGTGTTTCCCCATAGCTTGATTTATTAAAATGACCATGCTTTGTTATTTTTTACAAGCTATACCGCAATCGTGAAAATTTTTGTTCTGGTATTTTGTTTTCACCTTATATACACACAAGCGCCTCTAATATTCTTTGCTCAACCCTAAGGAGTTCATGCCCCCGCGGTCGCACTTATTGAGTGCAGGGGTGTGCATCCTTTAATACATGAGGGCCACATACAAATAACTGGGTGAAACAGCGGGCTGCCTTTTTATTTAACATAGGCTTTTTAGTTAAAGGCACATAAAGTTTGGTTAATATTTCTATGACATGCGTTGTTCGCATCGCACAAGCTAGCTTTTATGACAATGTAACCTCATAGTCATAGATAATGAAATGGACTCAGTTACAGACAGGCTTTGCAACGCAAAGGGATGAGAATTACTTGCACGTGTTTGATTAAACTAAATTAAAAACTTGTTTCGCGGGCCGCACACCATTTAAATAGGCACTTCTCCGCGGGACGCAAAATTTATCTTCGGAGGCCGCATTTGGCCCGCAGGCCGCAGTTTGCACACGCCTGGATCAGTACATTACAGGACGCACCGGTAGTACTCGTACCAAGATGACGCACAACCTGAACCCTAACCGGGTACACACACTATTTAGGTTGTGCGTCATCTTGGTGCACATACTTCAAGAGCACCCATTACTGAGTTTACACTTACCCTCCATCCGTACAGGTCAAGAAGATATTGTTGAAAAACAGTAAACGCAAACGCTCCGAGTCCAACTCCACTGGATCCGATTCCCATGGCTAATGCTCGTTGCCGTTTAAAATAATCTGTGAGCCTGACGACTGCAGCTAGGTTGGCGATCCCTCCTCCGCTACCTGGAACAAAGAACACAAAAGTCTTAGATGGTCCAAGCTGTATAATTTACTCGGCAGTCAAGAGGCCGCGGTACGCCATGTTTAAGCCGTCTTGTCGACTTTCCTCTCATACGGGATAAATATGAAAATCCTACAGGGCATCATATTCAGGAATGGCTACAGCTAAAATAATATTTTCGGTGCTCGCGAAGTATGCGAACCAAGATGGCGGACATCGGAACGTAACATGGGTAACAGGTTAGGGTTAGGCGATAATTTTTTTCCAATTTTCCTTATTTTAGTCCTATTATCAGTTCGAAGACTAGCCAAGAGCCTCCCGTAGTATTTATACCTAAAATTATGGCCTAACCCTAACCTAGTACACATATTACATTCTGATGTCCGCCATCTTGGTTCGCATACTTCGGGAGCACCATATTTTCAAATAAGTGGTCGATTGGGGCTTTCTCAAACTGGGTTCTCGGCACCCCTAGTGAGCCACGGCACAATTCTTTGGCGGCCACGGGAAAAGCCTCCTATAGGTACCATACGCAATGACTACAATAATTTAAAGTAATTTGAATGTGTCTTGTTTAACTCATTTTTGCAGGTAAAAATATTGAACTCAAAATCATGCCCATCATCCCACCCAGGGTAGAATAAATTGGGTATGCTTAGAAGGAAAATCCGAATGCTCCTCTAAATAGAACATCTTTACCCCGCAGGGGTAGCTTTACAGAGTGAAATAGCAATAGCATGCCAATAATAGATAGACAATAAATTAGAAGATAGGCATCAGGTTTCTCTTAGTTTTCAATCGACATAAGATAATATTCGTCTTATCAGTATTTTGATAACCCTGCTGAGTGCCGAGTGTATAAAATTTTGCCGTATGAAAAAATGGATTGTATCTAGAATTATTTGTGTCAATCTAAGCACACATGGAAGTCAATGTATATTGGATGAATTTGAAAATGCGAGAAGACAAGATAATTTATGATTTAATTTATATTTGCACAACTTTCATACTTGAGAGTCGGACCACCAACCATAGAAATTGATACTCGATGAGGCTTCTCAGTAGAACATTTAGAATTCGTGGAACCCTTTTAAAATATATCCAATACTTCATATACTGTATATTCGAAATTTATATATCAGAATTCGGTACCTGTCACGCCAGATGGGCCGTGAATAGGTAATTTGAAAGAACAAGAAGTTATGCATTGCGTAGATAAATATATACCTGCAAGTATTCCGTATGTGAAGAACAGAACGTAGATATTTGTTGCGAATATGCTCAGCAGCATACCAGCAGACATTACAACTCCTCCAACAACAACCGTCTTTCTTGTACCGATTCTGCTGATCAGCGCACTGCCAAGAGGTCCTAAAATGCAAGAAAATATGGTTTAATTTTTTAAATGACTTTTTATGCAATTTTTGCATGAGGTTACATAAAAAGGTTGGTATCTTTTGTACGAACCCCCCGCCAAAAATATAAAAACACTTTCGCCAACGCTTAAAATACAAACGAGAATATCGGTCGGAGACCGAAGACCCATCGATCGAAAAATAGGGGATACCCCAAAGCTATGATGAATGCACCGAGCTATGATGAATGCACATGCAAAATTTGGGAGATATCGCGAGCATCTAACAGACAAACAAACAGACAAATACCCATCAATATTACTTACCGATCCTAAGATCGATAAGTAAAATTAGTAAATATCCAGGCTAAGAATGCAGACTGCACTGAAAATTCAAATTTTCAAAGCATTTCGAACTCGAACCCGAACCACAACTGGCTAATTACTAATTTGTTATTTTAAATCGTGGCGGGAAATGTTTTCTCACATTTTTTGCATTAGTGTTTTTTCAAAAGATCTCAAGTAATTGTACTTTTTGTCAATCATAATATGCTGCAACGAGTCGTCAGCTGGTACAAAATTCATTTATCAAATGCGAGTTAAATTCACGATTTTTCACATAGTGTTCATCACTAAATTCAGGAAACCGTCACAGACGTCGACTTCGTGTGTTCAACAAAAATGACAATAAAAGTTCAATTCAAGCTCTGTAATTTATTGCATGGGTGTTTTCACACCAATATCAGTTGTTATGAAGCGAATATCATGTGTGTTGTCTGCGGTGACAGTTAAAAATAATTTGTAAAGTCACCTAAATCCCTACGTTATCAACAGCCCACATAGACATTTGAGACATGCAATACCGTCAATTTTGTTTACGCAAATGCATGGTACCGCAACCAGGCAACGAAGAATTAAACTTAAAAAGTAATTTTAAAGATTCATTTATGATCAATTACATATAAAAGCCATACAAAATATAACTTTTTTTAACAGTATTTGGCATCCTGTTCCAAAGTGCTTACTAAGTGCTGTTATTTATTACGTAATAGGCGATAAACCCGCGATAGAGCAAACCGCGATAAAGCTTGCTACTCGGTAACGGAACTGTAAATAAAGTGGGCAACTTCGTTAAAGGCATCCAAACATATTCGAGGCATGGCGTGGCATTCGTGGCCAAATTCCGAGTTCAAACTTGTCCTATAGTTATGATATGAGATTGGGATCTTTTGTACAAAGCCCCACAGCCAACGCAAGAATGTGAGGTTCGAGCAAAACATCCTCGTCACGTTTTAAAATAACAAATTAGTAATTACCGATATTCATTTAGGGTTAGAATTTATTTAAAAATTTTCAGCGTGATCTGCATTCTTAACTTCAACCGCAACTAGATAATTTTTAATTTTCTTATTTTTGGCGGGGAATTTGTACAAAAGGCACGGGATTCGAGTTATTACACGGCATTCAAGGCCAGATATTGCGTTTTCGCTTCAGATGCATTGACTTGATGTTCCCGTACATTTGAACCCACGACAATTGCACCTGCATACTATTGCACTTATGAAATTTTTTTGTTTCTGTTTTACGGATATTTGAACGCATAATAACCCTAATCCATGGGTTTTAGCACCCGCATATAGATTGAACCCGCGGATATACACATGGGTTCAAATGTACGGTCACCGGACTTGATGATGGAGGAATGCCGCATCAAGAGTGACAATGGCTATTCTACGTTTTTCAAAAGTCTTGTCGCACAACTAACACAATTTTTATTTATTTTGAAAACATTCATTATTAATAAATGCAATCATTTTTGCACTCATTTTTTAAAATTTATTTTCCTGAATGTCATAAATTTAATTTAAAGTAAATATTGTGACGCATTGAAAATAGAACGCTTCCCCTGCGCGACAACAGTAACCAAAAATAACCTTGATGTCACAAAACATAGATAGGGGGTGTTTTTCTTAAATTTGACATTTTTGCATTAGTAGCGGGGGACATCGCACAAAATATCTAAACTTGGTTCAATTCAGGATGAGATTTTCATATTTACCCGGGAAAGGTGAGCCAATAAGACGGCAATATGGCAAACCACGGCCGCTCGTCCGGTTACCAGTCCATGTCGGGTATGTGATTAGTCAGACCGTTTCAGATGCACTTAATAATTCAAGGTCTTGCTACACACTAACACAATTTTCACTCATTTTTCGAAATTTATTTTTTCTGAAGCCATAAATTTCAAATTAAATTTGAGTAAATATTTTGACACATTGGAAATAGGGCGATTCTCATGCGCAACGACATGAACCAAAAATAACCTCTGATGTCACGAAACATAAATTTTGCTCATAGCAGGATTGGATGTTCATATTTACCCGGGGAGCCGGAATGACAAATTGGCAACAGTATCTTTCTCCTTCGTGGAACTGTTACAAAAATAACCTCCGATGTCACAAAGCATCATAAATTTCGCGTATTTTAACGGTAGCCTTGACATATCCGGATCACAAACCGCCCCATTGGTAAATATTTGCCTATAACATAACAACATTGGCTTTGTGTGTCGAGTGGCCCGCAATATGAACTGCAAATATGTACAAGTAAGGATAAAAGAACGATAATAACGATCGGGGATTTCACTAGGGTTTGGTATTCTACAATTTTGTTTCCACAATGAATTTCTGAAACTAGTTTATACTTTTGCTTCGAAATAGGCTCCCGGCAATCCATTATATTCTTGGTAAAATTCTTTCAGCATTACCAATACGCGCCAGGGGCGTTGATAATTGTTTCTATCAGTACTCTTTCTACTTTTAGTGAGGGGCTCGGGACCTTTCTTTGAGCAAACTTGCAGCGCTTATATTAGTACTCTTTCCACTTTTGGTTGAGGGACCGGGGCCTTGCCTTTGGCGAACTTGCAACCCTTATATTATTACTCTTTCCACTTTTGGTTGAGGGACCGGGGCCTTGCCTTTGGCGAACTTGCAACCCTTATATTATTACTCTTTCCACTTTTAGTTGAGGGACCGGAGCCTTGCTTTGAGCAAACTTGCACCTCATTTTTGAGTAGACATACTCTTACCAATTTTAGGTATGGATCAGGGTCTTGCTTTGAACGTACTTGCAACCCTTATATTAGTACTCTTTTCATTTTTCGTTGAGGGTCCGAGACGTTCCTTAGAGCAAACTTGAAACTCTCATATCAGTTCTATTTCCATTTTTAGTTGAGGGCTTGGGACCTTAATTAGACCAAATTTTCTATCAGTACTCATTTCAATTTTAGTTGAGGGACCGGGGCCTTGGGCCAAATTGCACAAAAAATTTCACATTTATCAAAAATTCATCACATTTTGACTTGTTTAAATTACCTATAAACGCTGTTTATTTTACGATTTTTTTAGTATGAAACTGCACAGACATTGCAGAATCGCTGTTATCCCAATGTAAACGAAACTCAGTAAATTGATTCGAATTACACGATGATCTTCAGATAATTATCTTATCCGGTTCTGAAGCTTTGAATTGCCAAGAGACTGTAACATCTAGCGGGACCTTTTGATTATGTGTTTTGCGAGTCTAAAAAGCGTTTCAAGGTACGAAAAATTGCTGTGTATGTTTTTTTTTTTACATTTCAAAACAAGAGCGACCTGAACCACTCCTAATTGCACGCAACTCTTCACAGTAATATAGCGGTTTCGAGTACAGAATTGCTCCACTCTGGGAAGAGTTAAATGAATGAAAACAATTACCTCGTTATCGCAGTACATTTTACTGATTTTTGCAAAGTATATTGGAAGATAAATTCAGCTGAAATGATAACGAGCGCTCGAAATAGCCAGAATAAATATTTGAGGTATCGGAACTCCCGGGGCGGAAGGGCTTGCAAAAATACTGGTAAATGCCCATAAGATTATGAAATCGTCTAATCAAACCATCATTAGGGTAGGGGTGTCTATATCAATATAGTTTTGCAATCTAAAATTAGGGTAATGCCTCACCACTAATGCAAAAATGTGATATTTCAGAAAACACTTCCGCCACGTTTTAAAACAACAAGTTGGCGAGGGCTTTGTACAAAAGATCCTAAAATTCTATATTGACTCGTTCAAGATGTGATGCATTAATTTGGAACATCTCCATATAGACGTTTTGATTCGTGATGCAAGAGAGAAGCAATTAGTAGTAATCATCTAAATAGGGTTTGTGTTAGAAATGCAGATTGCGCCGAATGTTTCAAATCTTTCCTCACTCGAACTGAATAATTGCTAATTTGTTATTTAAAACGTGGCGAGGCTAGCATTCCATTTACCATGATCGAATTAGTCTTGATAACTTTAATATCATGAGACTATCAGGCAGAAATAACATAATCAGCACATTTGAATTTACAAGAGGTAACGTGACCACGAAATTGTTCATAATAATAAGTTCATGAGACAATGGTTCATCCAGACAGGAATCACATAATCAGCACATTTACAGGAGATAACGTGAATTTTTCAAATCATTCCTAATCTTAAACGCAAATTGATAATTACTAATTTTGTTTTTTAACACGTGGGGGTGTTTTAAAGAATCTTACATTCTTGCATTAGTAGTGGGGGCTTTGTACATAAGATCCCCGTTGCGTAACGTGTATCACGTGCTATACAAAACATGAGACTCCGATTATATTTTTACACAAAGTTTTTAACGATAATTCAAAACCCGAATCATGACAGAATTACTGCTCTAGCATTACACGAACGAATTAGTTTTGATAACATTAAGTATATGAGACGATTACAAATTCAGCCACGGAAATAATTTAATCAGCACATTTAAATTTACATGAGGTAACGTGACCACGAAATTGCACAATTTATACGCGTTTCGTGTATAATGTGCTGTTATACAAACGAGAGACTTAATACAAACATGAGACTTACAAAACATTAATTTTTTACACAAAGTTTTGCAAGACAACCTAAAACCCGAATCATGGCAGACTTACTGCTTCAGCATTGCATTAACCATGAACGAATCAGTCTCGATAATAATAAGTTCATGAGACGATGGTTCATCCAGACAGAAATCACATAATCAGCACATTTACAGGAGATAACGTGACCACGAAATTGCACAATTTGAGCAGAAATTTCGGATGTTTTGTACAATTCCCTCACCAACAAAACATCCCCGCCAACAACTTAAAATATAGAATTAGTAATTATCCTGATACGGTTTGGGTTAGAAATGCAGAAAGCGCTGAAATTTTAATTTTTCAAATCATTCTTAATAATCTTAAACGCAAATGGATAACTACTAAGATCCCCGTTGCGTAACGTGTATAACGTGCTATACCAAACATGAAACTCCGATTATTTTTCTACACAAAGTTTTTAACGATAATTAAAAACCGAATTATGACAGACTTACTGCTCTAGCATTACACGAACGAATTAGTCTTGATAACATTAAGTATATCAGACGATGTCAAATTCAGCCACGGAAATAATTTAATCAGCACATTTAATTTTACATGAGGTAACGTGACTACGAAATTGCACAATTTCAGCGAAAGTTTCGAATATTTTGTACAAAGTCACCTCCAAGATGCCCAAGATGCCGCGGACGCCGCAAGCGCTCCAAATAAGAAAATTAGAAATGCAGAATGCGCTGGATATTTTTTAAAACGTGGCCGGGGGTGGTTTTTATCAAATCCCACATTTTTGCATTAATGACGGGTTTTTGTACACAAGGATACCTTTCCGTAACGTGTATAACGTGCTATACAAAACATGAAACTCAAGATTAATTTTCCACACAAAGTTTTTGACAATAACTTGAAACCCAAATCATGACAGACTTACTGCTCTATGCATTTACCGTGATCGAATTAGTCTTGGTAACACTAATATCACGAGAAGACGGTTACATATTTGCAGGAGGTAACGTAACCACGAAATTTCACAATTTGACCAGAAATTTCGGCGCTCCCGAAGTATGTGAACCAAGATAGCGGACACCAGAACGTAGTATGTGTATGAGTTAGGCCATAATTTTATTAATTATATAATTTTGCAAGCAAGAAAGTACATGAACAAATGTTGCCGATGAACACATAGCAGATTGCAATGCCCCTGTTTGGCAATTGTTAAATATGAAAAAAAAATGATTGTTTGATAAATGAGAACTACAAGCACAATAAGAACTATTATTAAACAAAAACAACGAATTTTTTTATTGTTATTACTATTAAATCGGGCAAAACCCCGTGTGCATAGCACCAGAGCATATATTTTCTATATCTAACTCACAGTACACTATATACACAGTATGAGCATTTCGAGGTGCAAACATTTACTTTTAAAATTTTCGAAGGTAAACAGGAGAATAAAAATTAGTAAACCATACACTGCAGCACGGGTGAGGAACCTTTTGCTTCCGTGGGCCATAGGTTCCCGTACATTTGAACCCACGACAATAGCACCTGTATACCATTGCACCTATGAATTTTTTTTTCGTTCCACGGATATTTGAACCCATACCAACCCTAACCCATGGGTTTTAGCACCCGCATATAGATTGAACCCGCGGATATGGGTTCAAATGTACGTGGGTTCAAATGTACGGTCACAGGGCCATATAACCAACTAATTAAAGAAATAGCCGCGGGAAAGGCAAGAACGGGAAATGCGACTTTCGCTTAGTCATACAGTAACAAAGACACCAGGCAAGACGCCGGAAGATTTAACGCGGCGACGAGAGCAAAAATCATTACGCCTTTTTACCCATGCAAGCGCGTTTTTAAACAAAAACTGTCTAATCAGCATTTTATGCCGGACGGGGGGAAATGAAGGTTGAGACGGGCCACACTAAATCGCCTAGGCCCTAGAGGGCCAGGTTGTGGCCCACGGGGCGCAGGTTGCACACCCCTGCCCTACAGCTAATGAATGGAACTACATACGCTTACCTGCCAAAAGAGAACTTCCAGTAGCGAGTGATCCAATCCAGGCAGTGTTTCCTTTGCTTGTTTGGAACTCATCAAGCCAAACAACGTATAGAACTCCAACCGAATATAAGGATCCGAATAACACGAACCGAACCACGAATGAGGCGGCGAGAATCACCCATCGATAGCTGAGATTCTCCGGGTCTCGTGTTTGTCTCATCGCTCAGTTGTTCGCAAAGTATTCCTACTATTTCTAATGTTTCATTTAGGCTTAAGTTCTGTAAAAGTATAATAAAGCAGTTGTTACTTATCGATCTTAAGATCGGTAAGTATGTTGATAGGTATTTGTCTGTTTGTCCGTTTGTCTGCCTGTCTGTTTGTCTGTTAGATGAACACGATTACCGATCTAAGATCGATAAGTCTTCGGTCTCCGACCGATATTCTCGTTTTCAAACTTTTTAAGACGCGCTACCTTTAGAATTTGTCAAGTCTCGCGTCCCACCTCAAAAATATCTATCTAACAATAAGCTACAAATAATGGATAGTAAGGCGAAAGGGACCTCCAGAAGTATGCGCACCAAGATGAACATGGTATGTGTATACCGGTTAGGATTCAGGTTGTGCGAATTCTTGGTGCGCATACTTCTGGAGCACCGGCAGAAGTGTTTCATTCAAATACACGTTGAAAATACGTGGATGAAACGTAAATATTAAAAGGTTTTGAAATGTAAATATCTGAAATAAGGCGGGATCTAACAAATATTTTTATTTTTAATAAAGCTTCACGCCCCCTCAAAAAAGTGTCCACGCCCATCGTTTGAGAACCACTGTGATGAGATATTCCAATACGACGTATTCACGCTTTTTGCTTCTAAGAAGGCTCGGCGCAAGCAGCACTATGTTATTTAATGACAACAGGATGACGGTTCAGCATTTCGTATTCAATTTTCCACACTCTGGGGAGACAGTGACTGTGGTAAGAAAAGAACCTGACATTTTAATCTGCAATGTCACTGTAGTTGAATGTGATGCTATCAATGACGTAGGCAGGGATTTTCAAAGGGGGGAGGAGCAAATTGGTTCCGAAATATCTAAGTTAGACCGTAAGAGCTTGCGGGTCCGGCTATGTCTGATGCAGAAATTCCCTTTTTTTTACATTCCTAAACCTCTCGGTGCTTCCCAGGACCATTGCTTACAGAAAACTACATTGGACGATTTTGATACTTAGAAACACTCACGCTTTTCACAAGCTTCTAACACTGTTTACGATATACACACTATTGTCTTATCAATACAGCTAACATTTGCAAAAAGCTCTGTATAGCACGAACGGAAATTAGCCTGTCTTAATTTCATCCGGCCAGCCGCTTCTCATCATTAAGTCAACTTCAGTTATATGGAATTTATTAGCTGTTTTCCTGATTGTATTGACAATCTCGCCTCAGTCGATATTCACTGACGTGTAATTTACCACCATAATGATGTAATGGTCTCAATATCTATTGGTTATTTAGTGGCCGCACGTAAATACCTTCGCTCAGAGATCAATCACTTTCAATTTTGAGAAAGTGAGAAAATATCAATTAATAAGTCGACATCAGCAGTGACAGGCACATGCCTTTATGCGTGATTAGAGAAGAACAATTGCTGGAAACGTTACACGCTACACAAAGGTTCTATTACATTTGAACCCACGTACATGTTAAACCCACGACAATTGCACCTGCATACTTTTGCACTTATGGAAATGTTTTTTGTTTTACGGATATTTGAACCCATACTAACCCTAACCCATTAGCACCCTCATATAGATTGAACCCGCGGATATACACATTGGTTCAAATGTACGGTCACCTACACAAATACTGTATTATGCGCGTGGCGACTGTTTTGTTAGAGCACACTGTTCGTATTACATGTGACTCTAAGCCACCGGTGTGCAATTCTTTTGTTGGCGGGCCATATAACCAACTTCAGACATTTAGCTGGGCAACGAAAATAAATTAGATTTTTCGTGTACACTACGATTTAAAAAAAGGGAATCGCTTAGCCTTACAGTAAGTAATTAAGACACCGGGCAAAACGACGAAAGCTTCAATTCAGTGACAATAGCAAAAAATATGGATTTTTACCCATTATGTGCGCGCCTTTTTAAACATAAAATATAGGATTAGGTTTTAATGCTTGATGGGAAAAAATCTGAGTGTTGACAAGTGCTACGCTGAATGGATCGGCGGGCCGTGTTGTAGTCCGTGGGCCGCCTGTTGCCCACCCCTGCTATAAGGCTAAGCGGTGCTCCTGAGGATGTGCATCAAGATGTCACACAACCTGAACCCTAACCTGGTACACATACTATGTTCAGGTTGTGCGCCATATTGGTACACATACTTCAGGAGGTCGGTCCGGCTAAACATATCAATATTCGGTCTATCAGTTATACATTTTGAATTATGGGTCTCCAGTATTTCAATACTGCGTCGATATCAGCACTGCCTAGCTCTGGTCATTTTTATTCAATTCGAAAAGATCTTCTCGCTCGCAACCTTACAGCCAGAGTAAACACTAGGCGCTTGCGAATCTGTAGTAAATACAACTCCTGGTATTGTTAGCGGTCGTTATCAAATATTTGTATTAATCGAAGGTCCGCGCTTTCACTTTGAAACAATTCATAAAATTGACGGTTATTTTTTTTCAAAGTTGTAATTCAGAGTTGATTTCAGCTCGCTTTTAAAGACTTAGAGGAAGAACAACTAGAAACAAGAATTTTTACACATTTTCACCAGTTTCGCGAAGGTTAGTATGGGGGGGGGGGGGGGGGTGTTTTATTAAAATCGACTTCTATACTTACAAGTAATGAGGCGATTATGGATCATATATTCATCCATATTTATAACACCGTAAAAATTCATCAATTTGTCACTTCAATTAAATATAATGCACCACATAAATTAGGCGTGAATAATTAATGAGATAAATATTTTGTGCCTTTAATCTAATGTATTGCCTTCCTTCAATTGTCTACTATAGGGGGTATATTCACTTGGCTAACGCAGACAGTACCTGAACTCGTAACATAACTAAATAAGGAAAATCGGAATAATATTATGTCCTAAACCCCAACCTGGTACACATACTACTCAAATACGTGTAACTTATGGATGAAATTACTGGGTTGGCCTCACAATATAGTACTAACCTAAAGTAGACCTCAAACCAGAGTAGCGCAATTAAATCTTAATTATTTAGCGCCTTTAATCTAGTGTATTGCCTTCCTCCAATTGTCTAAGTGTGAACAGACATCGGAAATAACTGTTTACATAAGATGTCGTCTGTAAAAGGGATGACAAGGTGGCCACGGTAAATGCTAAGTACACCGGCGTTTATCCAGCGCAATAGCTATATATGCGGAAGAGGAATAAGAAAAAAGATTGGAACTATATATCCATACGTATTTCTAACCTGCTGTCATATGGCGATTCCATAGCTCTCTGCCTAAAAATTTCATTTAAATGACGATTGGTACCATATATCCCTATTCCAACCTGCTGTCTATATGACATTGACATCCCAATATCCCTCTACCGTGAAATCTCATTCAAATAGCGATCGGGGAAATATACCTATGTCTCTTACAAACCTGCTATCTAGGATAAGGATAGGATTTACATATTTATCCCGGGGTAGAGGAAAGCCAATAAGACGGCCCAACCATATTGCGAACCACGGCCTCTCGTCCGGTTACCATTCCATGTCGGGTATGGGATTAGTTAGTTATTTGTTTTCGGAAGCATGGACTTGATGGAGGAAGCCGTAACCGACCAGCGGTTACGTGAACCACCCTACGGCGGCGAGGAGTCCAGCATCTATATCAGGGGTTCAGAACTTTTGATGTTATGTTATGTAGCCCGTAAATAGGTTGGCTATTGTTTACGGAGCCCCACAATGAATTTATAAAATCTGAAATTATCTATTGGAACATATAAACAATGAATATAATTACCGCCTTGTTGTCACATTTCGACGCTACCGTTGTCAAATCTTAATTAATAATGTTGTCAATGCTTCTTTGGGCAGTTACAAAATTAACCAAGTCAGTACTTTATTGAGTAAACGATTATACATTATACTATTTTCTGCACATATGAGAGTAAGGTAGAGAACGATGCACAAAAACGTACGATAATTACAACAACCCGAAACGGTAGATTTCAGTTCAATAAACCAAGTATGCGAGGTCCGTTGGTTTAATATTATTCCCCAAAATATGGTGTCATATTTAACGCTTTGTGCAAAATGATGCGGAATGCTCCATTATTTGTTCAATTCTTGTACAACGACCCCGCCACTAATGCAAAAATGTGAGATTTAAAAAAAACACCCCAACCTCTTTGAAAAATAACAAGAGTTAGGAATAATTTGAAAATTTAAATTTCTAGCGCAATCCGCATCCTTAACCTCAAAATTGATGATTATTAATTTTCTCAATTTAAGGGTTGGTTAGGGCTTTGTACGAAGGATTTAATTTTAGCTGAATGGACCCTTGTAAGTAATGTCCGTTGGTTCAATATTATTTCCACAAATATTGAGTTTTGTTTAACGCTTTGTGCTAATTGAAGCCGTTAGATCTCCGTCTGTTTGTGTTCAAGCCAATTCAATGATATGAATGTCCACGGCGTTTTAAACAACGCTTTTAAAAACTCAAGTAATAGCTACTAAACTTGAAAGGTGGATAAAATGATTTAGTGCTGCTTTCGATGACCAGATGTGGGCAATGTTTTCGGACCATGGTCAACAATTAAACAAAGTAAGAAATTGAATTCATGAACAATATTTACAGTGTTACAAAAGCAAAAGTGGAAAACAATAAGCCTCGTGCCAAAACTAAATATAATCGCAATCTCAACGAATTACTTGAGTTATTTTTAAGCTGAAACGCAATAATTTGGTTTTGGTTTGGTTGTGGCAGCATTAGGCGGTCCAGATTGAATTACCCAACGGGCCGGATTTGGATCTAGTTTGCCTATTTTAGACTTAGCCGGGCGAAAATGCAATGAAATGCATAATAATAGTTGGATTAAGGAAGCGTAACTGGTCAAAATTATATCGTGCTAATGGTATACACATGATGCTGCCATTTTACGCTCTATTGGTTTATAAATTTTCAAATCATGGCAAGGTCTAAAGAGGTGGACACTAAAAATGACTCAACAAAGATTTTCGTAACAAATGAAACGCCTTTTTCTAACATTATATATCTTCGCAGGCTGAGGTCCACCGCGTTAAGATTAGGATCAAACCAATGCCGCAAATCGCTCAATGAATGTATACAAATAAGGACGCTCCAGAATTGTGTATGTAAGAGGTAACTAATTTTGTTAGCCAATTCACATCAGATTGTGTATAGGAACTGAAACCTATGGGCAGGGAGTATATTCACTTGGCTGACACAGACAGTCTACCGAACTCGTAATAGAACTAAACAAGGAAAATCGGAATAAAATTATGTTTTAACCCAAACCTGGTACACACACTACACAAATAAGTGTAACTTAGGGATGAAATTACTGGGTTGGCCTCACAATATAGTACTAACCTAAAGTAGATTTCAAACCCCAGTAGCGCAATTAAAATTTACAAAAACACAGAGGCGCAGAAAAGAATTCTCGGCAAAAATGAAGCAACAAAATAATCGATAATTGAACTCTTAGATTTGCGTCACTTCCGTTCACCTCAGTCAATTGCTACATTGCAGAAGACATTCTTTTTTGTAGATAAATCGTGAAAGTATTTTAAGTTCAGGTAGTGTTAAACCAAGAATGGGCAAATTACGGCCCGGGGGCCGGGTAGAAATTAAGACTATAGTTTTTATGGATATAAATTTGCGTTGGAAAATTTCGATAAAAATATCGAATCGTCAGCTAAAATATATACAGGCATTCCCCATGTATTATATGCACCTAAATACAATGTGTCACTTTGTACACTATAGCTGTTAGTTGTACATTAGCAGTTACGCAATATTATTTGTGAATAAACTGTTTTTTATTCATAGTTTAAAATTGAGTTTTGTGCCAACAGCCCAGTGACCAAGTCTATTATCTGACACTGGCCCACTCTAGAAAGTAATTGCCCACTCCTGTGTCAAATCTATCAAACATTAGCACACTTAAACTTATGAGTAGATAACCTGTTCCGGAGGAAGACTACTAAGACATTTTTACGCAAAATACAAACAAATTGAGGACCACCTGAAGTATGCGCACCAAGATGGCGCACAACCTGAACTCAGGTTGTTTACCAGGTTAGGGTTCAGGGTATGCGACATCTTGGTGCGCATACTTCAGTAGTACCCAAATTGAACTCTTTACCGTAACGATTTCACTGCAAAAAATTACTGAGGTACGGTACTGCAGAAAAAAATACTGAAAGGATCATATTAATCACGAATAACCCGAGCGTATCCACCGTTTGCCTGAGATACTCCATTATTTGACGCGACATTAAAGTATCATTCCTCTGTGGTACCTCAAGTAACGGATCTTTTGTACAAAGCCCCGCTAAAATAACAACCCCGTCACCGCTCAAAATAAAAATAAAATAGTCATTATCCAGTTAGGGTCAGGATGAGGGCAAGGAATGCAGATTGCGCTGTAAATTCAAATTTTCAAATCATTCCTAACCCGAACAGTTTGTTTTTACTAATTGGTTATTTTAAAACGTCACGGAGATGATGTTCTTTCAAATTTCCCATTTTTGCATTAGTGGCGGTGACTTTGTACAAAATAACCTCAGTAAATAGCTAATCTAAAAATACCGTTACCCCATGAGCTGACTTCAAAATAATGCTGCAAAATATGTCTCTGGTACCACTCAGTCATGGCCACTACTAAAAATTAATTAATAGAGCGTAACTAGTCAGAATTATATCGTACCAATGGTAAACACCTGATGCTGCCATATTACGCTCTATTGGTTTATAAATTTTCAAATCATAGCAAGGTCCAAAGGAGGCGGACGCTAAACTGAAGATTTTCGTGTCAATTGAAACGCCTTCTTCTAACGTTGTATATCTAGCAATTAATCAACATAAAACTTAGCCTAATTACTTGCAATCAACATTCTGAAATAAGTAGCTAATGCTTGCAAAACACATCTTTTCCTTTGCTAAAATTCATTGCCGAGCTATAAAATAAAGCAAGCTTTTGTACTACGGTACCTAGTCTCTGACTTCCACTAAATAAGTCAATTGTGAAATCACAGAGTCATTGACGCAATAAACGATTAAAGTAACAAGTTTGATTCATAGACTACAAAAGTTTATGGCGTCATAAACAATGTTTATGGCTGGAAAGAAGTAAAAGCGGTTAACGCAACGTTGATCGACCTAATGCGAAAACCGGTAATCGCAGAGTTAAATTGAACGAAAAATTGTTGTAGCATACGAAATTTATCCCCGAGGCAATTCAAAGTAAGTTCAATAAAACAATACGCTCGGAATCCTAGGATATCAATATAATTGCAGGTTTTAAAAGTACGTGCAGCATACAAAATTAAACACTATCAGAACGAAAGGCCTATTTAAGTGATTTTTTTTATATGATGTATTTTCCGGACAATAAAGCCGTCTTAAATAGAATCATAGAATAGAATAAACAATCCTTTAATTACGCTTTTCGGTCCTTGTCCTTGTTTAGTATTTAAAAATATGCTAATTGTCCTTTATTCTTTCCAACGTCGTTTTGCGCGATAGTTATAGCGTAAATATATACTACTACGGTTATAGCACTGTGTTTGATATTGTTTCGTTCCTAAAAAATCGCATCCGTTCATGTATTTGCAAGCTTATACTTTTCAATTTCGCTTTGGTCCGGCTCAAATAGCCAAAAAAAGAACAAATTTATTAACTTTGTTTTGGTCAATGTTAAGTGAACATTAAATGAAAAACACATGAAGATTGTTAAGTCAGTGCGAGGATTTGCTTTGAGATAAGTTTTTCGTAAAAAATTATAAAAACAATTCAGATTTGCGATTCTTATACATCTCATATACATTCTGAATTGACGCAGTTTATTTGCACTTACACTGTTTCCGTAAAGAAAGTTTGGTGCTCCTGGAGTATGCGTACCAAATGGCGGTATATGTGTACCAGGTTAGGAGATAATTTTATTCCTATTTTCTTCTTTTTAGTTCTATTACGAGTTCGGAGACTAGCCAAGTGACTCCTGTAGTATGAGATTTAAAAATTATGGCCTAACCCTAACCTGGTACACATACTATATTCCGGTGTCCGCCCTCTTGATACGCATACTTCAGGAGTACCAAAAGTTTAATTTTACTTTAAGTAACAATTGTGCCAATGGATGATTACTCGACATATGCACGAGTACGTACGACGTACGCATTCGACGCAATTCCGAAATATGTTGAAACTATTCAACAATGGCAAATTTTTTATTCGAATTACACAAAACATTTTCACACATAACTGAAAACTGGCAAATAGCGATAAAATAAAGAGAAAAACAAGTCAACAACTATTTTTTGAAATCTGTCTAATTGTAAAAAGTGTCTTAGTAGATAGTATAATTCGAATTGTTACGTAACCGTTAAGTTACTGCCGATTAGCTATTGTTACGGATATATACAAGGAAGTTAATGCTTGGGGGAATATCCATCACATCTCACAAATAACGCCCCATTGGTTGCCATGCCAGTTGAACATTCCCTGGTGTACGTCATTTTCGTCACGATTGACTTGAAACCCCATACCGGTGCGATCTTCATCAATTGTGGGGTAGTCAGGATACCAGGTAACGTACGGGGCTTTGCTGCCGTCAGAGAGTTTCAGTACTTTTGTCTGTAACGATGACACACAAAATAATTTTATATTTTTTTACATACTAAGGTAACGTGTTCTAGTGGGGCTCAAGCTGGTGCCCTCTCTCCTTTGGGGGTCTAAGGTAGTGCTCTTCAACCGGGTATACGGTATACCCAAGTGTATACCGGACCATAAGTTAGGTATATAACTGATAAAGAGTATAAAAAAGATGTACATCCTGGATTCTGGAATCTAATATAATAAATTATAAAATATTCAAGCGTAAACAACAATGCAAACGCGGCGCAAATGAAATATAAAATGTCATTTACGCAAAGAACCCACGTGAGCACATTGTTACATCACAAATTATACAGATAATCTGGTCACGTGTCTGGGTTGGTGATTTCGGCTGTCATGCACTTCGTTCGATTTACGTTTAACATTTTTCTCGTTGACGCTGTGGCCGTCAGTCAAATTTATAATTTGCGGACACTAGCTCATTAGATTACATGATGATATTGCAGAACGATATGTGCTTAAAATTTAATGTTTACTTAAGCCTTAAATAAACATTGGCATTTGTAAGTTATAAAAAGTTCTTGAAAATTTGTAAAAGGTATACCACGATTAAAAAGGCTGAAAAACACTGGTTACGGCATGGACTTATAGGCCAGGGCTACTCAACTGGTGGACAGGGGTCCGAATCCTGACCTTCCTGGTGTTCGATTCGAACCGCACCTAATTCTTTGTTTTGGATCATTGTCCAACTTTGGATGTGCGAAGGTTTCCTTTTATTAAATGATTTTCATAGTTTTAAAAGTTATTACTTATCGATCTAGATAAGTAAGTATGTTGATAGATATTTGTCAGTTTGTTTGTCTGTTAGATACACGCGATATCTAACGAAAGCGAGGTTGAATCCTATACTTATACTTATCTGCTCCAAATTTTGCATGTGCATTCATCATATTTCGGACCAGAAGCTTATTAATTTTGGATGAATTATGTCGTATTAACTCGTTATTAGCGAGTTAATAATTAATACATGATGGGAAATGCGGTGTCGCTATTTAGTCAAAGCGAAGGATACACGCCGCTAGATCGATAAGTCGGCGGTCTCCGATCGCTATCCCATTTTAATATTTGCTCATATTTGCACCTGACAATATATGAAAAGAACCGTAACGCCGAAGAAGTGCGCGTTTAAGGATGTCGAAATATAATTTTTGGAAAAACCGAATCCCGGTAACTTTGAAGTTTTGTATACGAGTCTTTGGTATAAATAGTTGAAAAGCCCTGTTCTAGACATTGGAGGCCACGAGCAAAATCCTTCACTTGGTACCATTCTCAATGACGACATAATTTAATGTAAATTTACTGTGTTTTTTTCATCATAAATTTATTACGTGGCTTTCGTTTGTCGCTTTTCATTACTAATAAAATATACAAATAACTTCTAATGAAATACCAGAGTGTTCAACAAGTCCCTTTACAATTTCAATTTTGTTATGAAGTCAGTTCTCAATATATCTTAACCAGGTTTGTTGTTTTTTAATCAGTGAACCTTATTTAATACATCTGTGAGGACCAAAACAATATATGGCATCGATAAATGCCCTCTGCAATTTGAAAAAAAGGTTAGGCTTTATGAACACCCTATATTTATCCCATGAAAAGGCGTTCAAATCAGAACTAAGTATATTTATAGAAAGGCAGCGTGCATGAAGTGTTGAGTTTTTAGGGGAGGGGGGCACTGGCCAGTTTAATTTGGTTTTCAGCACCCGACTGCTCACCTGTGGGTTGTAAGTCATTCCAATCCATAAGTACACTGCATTTGTCGATGTCGGTAGGTTGGTTCTAACGTAGTTGGAAACCATAGTGTAGTGCTGGGAGTTTAATATATCAGCCGGATATCCGGATTTCTTTCTACACAATTGCAAGGCTTGTTCGTATGAAACGTCGATACTGGTGTGAATGACACTCCAATAGCATTTCCGCTGGTATCTTATCCCAGGGCATTCTGCACAAAGAAAATTTGAATGAAAAATTTTGGACGTAAGAGGCTGAAGCAAGGATGGGCAATGTTTTCGGAGAAGGGCCAGGTGTTAAATACAACTTAATGCAGGCACGTTCTGGCGAATTATTAAAAACCAACTCCGTACAACATTCCTTGTTATGACATAATAGCCTTGGGAAGATAATATTAAATTCATGAGAGACCTATGCATGATAAATCAAATCGCTCGGGGCCGCAAAAAATGGATCTTTTTTGTATGCGGGTCTTATCTGGCCCGCGGGCCGCAAATGTGCTGACCACTGGTTCACAGACTTCTACAAAGTACCGTTTGTGACATAAATCTTTCTACCAGTAGTTTTTAACCGAGTTCCGCAAAATTTCTGGGTTTCACCAGTACAGCCCAATTTGTTCCGCAATTTTCAATTCAATCCGCTGTCTATCTATTTTAATATACAGGCTGTCCATAAAGTCCTAAAAGTTTTTAAGATTGCAAAGAATTTATCGATATCATATATTGCTTTGGCCTTCACAGATATATTAAATAAAATAAAAATACTTGAACAATTACTGATTAAAAAAACAACAAGCCTGGTTAAGATATATTGAGACGTGACTTCATAACAAAATTGAAATCGTAAAGGGACTTTATGCCACCCTTTATGTTGTTCAACTACAATCATATACAACTAGTTTGCCCTATATTGGTGAACTTGCTAAACTTTTATAATATCATTTCGTTTTGTCAATATTAGGTTTTCTTTTATATAAATTTACAGCTTATTCAATTCAGACAAGGAAACTATTAACATGAGTTTTTCTAGCCCTGACATGCACAAACTACGGCCCGTGGGCCAGATCCGGCCCGTTGGATAGTTCGATCTGGCCCGCCTGATGCTGCCACAACTGAGCTAAAACCAAATTTCGATGTTTCAGCTAAAAATAACTCACGCAATTTGTTGAGATTGCGATTATTTATAGTTTTGGCACGAGGCTCGTTGTTTTCCACTTTTTTTTTGTAACATTGTAAATATTGTTCATGAAATGTAATTTTTACGTCACACTTACGTGGCCCGTCAGTCTAGATGGGCAAATTTTATGGCCCCGGGTCCAAACACATTGCCAACTCCCACTCTAGACTCTGAAACCTTATACTGGAGTCCCGCTCCGCGAAAAAGGTTAAAAACCACTGATTGAACAATAATACACAAACTGTCACACGTACCTCTTTCTTGTGCCCGTCTTACTTTTTCCAATATTCTTTCTTCTATGATGTCTGCCATTTGGTCTATTCCTGAAATTATATGGGATAAGATTTAATATTCCATCATTGACAAGAAAAGCCTAAACATGGTTTGATTGTATGGCTAACTGTGGCTTACATACGCCAACGTTTTTGTTATCAAAATGTGTTTTCTGGGAGTTTGGAACTAGAGTCAGAATCAAGAAAACACATGTTGGTTCAAAACTCATCCCCGCCACCTCTCTCACGGTGTAATAAATTTGGTAGATAATGCCCAGCCAGAAAGATTTCACATCTAACAGTAGTTCTCTACACATATGTGTGGATAGGATTTACATATTTATACAGGGGGGGGGGGGAGCATAAGATGGCTTAATCACATGGCAAATAGCGGCCTCTCATCAGGTTACCAGTCCATGTCGGGTATGGAATTAGTTAGCCAGTTATTTGTTACAGATGCATGGACTTGATGGTGGAGGAAGCCACCCTACGGCGCCGAGGAGTCCAGCAATCCGCTCGAACATAACCAACCCTAGCATGGGATTCGAACCTGCGAACCTACGCAGGGTAATCAGATGTGCGGTGGCGAGCGTATTCCTAACATTCAGCACGATCTGCCACAGCACCGAGCCTTGGATGCTTGTACAAGCCTTGATCGGAGAGAAAGGCGTAATACAACGAATGCTTATTGGTTTCACAAATTAACTGGTCGAGCAGTATCGTCACCAAAACTCAGCGGTGTGGCGCATCGTGCTGAGCGTTAGGAGTACGCTCACCACTGCATTTCTGATTACTCTTCGTGGGTTCGCAGGTTCGAATCCCGTGATGATAATTATGTGCGAGAGAATTGCTGGACTCCTCACCGCATAGGGTGATTCACATAACCTCTGGTTGGTTGCGGCTTCCTCCACCATCATGTTCATGCACCTGCAACAAATAACTGGCTAACTCAACTCAGACCCAACATGGTCTGGTAACCGGAAGAGAGGCCGTGGTTCGACATATAATCAGACGTCTTATCTACTTTCCTCTCCCATGGAACAAATATGTAAATCCTATCCTAAACATATATTTTATACTGCTGTACCTGCTTGGACTCTCTCCTCGATGGTTGCATTTATTCGTTCATAGTTCACGATACCAGGGTCACCATCTTTACCTTTCGGTCCACGTGACCCGGGTTGACCTTCAACCCCTTGTGGCCCTCTTTTCCCCGGAATTCCTCGTCGACGTGGATTTGTGTCTGATGATAATCCTTCCTGGTTGGTTTCATCAAAAATATCTTCAACGGTTTTGCATACCAAGTGTTTGCTGTCCGCTTTCACTGGATCATAAGCCATCAAGTACAACAAACATAGCAACACTAGTGAGCCTATGATACCCATACTCATTTGACTATTATTTTAAAAAATGTATGGCACTCCAGAAGTATGTGCACCAATATGGAGGTAACCAATTTTATTCGCCTTCTTTACATCATGTTATGTGTGAAGGAACGCAAGCCTATGGGCAGGGGGTATATTGACTTGGCTAACACAGACAGACCCCGAACTCGTAATAAAACTAAACTAAGGAAAATCGAAATGATGGTTCAACCCTAACTTGGTGCACGCACTACAAGAGCACCTAAAATATAAGTTCAACGTTACTAGTACGATTTCTTCTATTTCGTGTATTTGAGTCAGAATGTTATGATATTTTATTTGGCGTTTCCCATGACTTCGCAATGAACAAGATTTAATATTTTCTTTGTGATTTCGGGGATAGATTCCAAGACAAATGTGTTTTTTTCCAACTCAGAGATCAAGTAAATTATCTGCATTCCACAGCTGTGCCTCCCAAGAGCGTAGCTAGCCCAAAATTTTGTAGAAAAGTCAAAATTTTAGTTTTCCAAGGCGACGTCTACTCGATCCTTTCGCTCCCAGCAGGGCCAAGTAAAGTGCTAACGAAACTATCCGTGGAATTGCTCCGCTGTCGAAGTTATCCAAGCCATATAAGCGCATAGTTTCATCTATTTCGGTGAGTTCAAATACCTCTAAATCGCTTTTCAAAACAAAAAATATCTCGACATTTGGTACCCAGTTCTTCACTAAAATTCAAATTGATTTTAACAGCGCAGTCTGGGCATCTCTTCATGGGGAGAAGGCTATGAAAATTGCGATTCCTCAGCATAATTAAAAACACTTCAAGCTATTTTGCTATTTTCCTATCCTTTATACAAAAAAACGTGTATCGTAAATCTCCAATTTTCAAATTTTTGTGAAATTACTCGATTCACGTATAGTAACGACTTCGCTAATGCCACATCCGCCATGGCCCGAAGCCATTTTAGTTCTAATCGCATAAAGCTGTTCTCGTTAACTTATACACACGATAAAACGAGTTAACAATATGGCCAAATACGGCTTTTCGTCTGATTACCATTCAGGTATTAAAATTCACTTAAGATAGGATTTGTGTCATTTTCAGATGGGAGAGGAGAGCCGATGAGCCGGCTCATGAAATAGTAAACCTCGGACTCTCGCCTGGCTACCAGTACATTGCGTGTTTGGGATTATTTGGCTCAACTTTATCATCATAACGCTTTATACATACAAGCTGTTTTGCTTTTTTTTATATATTTTTTGTCAAAATCCCGCGTTCCGTCTAATTATGCCGTATTCTCAAGCTTATTTCTCTTGCGGCCTACTTTCTAATGCAAAGGAAAATATACAAGAAAACAAAAAATTATTTTCAGTAAGATAGGCACTTCCACATTAATAATTAAAATATACTTACCTTTTAGTAGCAAAATACAGCATGATCATTTTTTTCTAATACCATCGAATCTAACTGATTTATTAACAAATCTAGCCATTTTTAATGGGTTCTAAATAAAGTTCTACTACTAGAATTGTACTACTTTAATTACTTATAATTTAAAAGGTATTTACAAATTTAATATTCAATTTTTATAAAAATATAATAACTTAATGTTTCTTATATGTGTTTAACAATTTGGTATTGCCACTTTCGAGCATATGTCAGCGGTAACTTGTATTTTCTCAATATCAATTGACGGCGCTCCACATGTATGTGTACCGATGGAGGTTAATAATTTTGTTCGTCTACTTTAAATCAAGTTGTGTAGAGGGACGGAAACCTATGGGCAGGTGGTATATTCATTTGGCTAACACAGACAGTCCCGACCTTGTAATAGAACTAAAATAGGAAAAAAACGGAATAAAATTATGGCCTAACCCTAACCTGGTACACAAACTGCGGTAGTACCCAATTAACAACTGATTTAGTTTTCTTGTAAATTTTGGATAATTCACTATATGATGGGCAATTTATAATATTGTGCGAAGTCGGATCACGTGACATCTGTTAAAATTTCTGATATTTGGCAAATCGAGAGATTTTACTCAAAAAGACGAGTGTTGAAGAAACGTCATTAAAAAAACATATATTCCCTACAGTTTTTAATAAAACTAATTTGATAAATACCATTTCAAACTTTTGTTAGTTACTTGTCTGTAATTTTTCATATATGTAACTTTTTTCAATGTGAACATTCGCTATTATGTCTTGAATTCCTTGACATATCATTCAAATAATATAATGCCATATTGAAATAGTTTTTTCCTGTCAAGGGCGCGGTGGTGTGGCTCATCGTGCAAAGAGTTAGGAATACGCTCGCCCCGCACCTCTGATCACTCTGCGTGGGATCGCAGATTCGAATCTCATAGTTTTGGGCGAGAGGATTGCCTCGCCGCCGTAGGGTGGTTCACGTAACCGCCGGTCGGTTGCGGCTTCCTTCAGCACCACTAATAATTAATCTAATTAACCATACTCGACATGGAATGGCAATCGGACGAGGGGCCGTGGTTCGTCATACGTAAAAGCCGATGTGATCCCGGGATAAATATGTAAATCCTATCCTAATAGTAGCGACCTGTCTCGTTCATCAAAATCGGCCTCATTCATTACTCTTATTTCAAGGTTTCGGTGAGCAAACTTGTAACTAATATTTATTCACATCAAAAGAGTGACGTATTGTTCCTTGTACTTTGATTGAAATTGATAGAAAATTGGCAATTTCCTGTTAAATATATTTTGACGTTTAATATTGTTCAAGCTTCCTTGATTACTCCAACCACGTGTTTGTGTGGAAACGTGCTCCTTGTGGTTCTTACTTAAAGTAGCTTACATGCTGAGACAGGGCAGCTATTGGGAACTGTCGTACTATTAGATCACCGAGTTTTATCCAGTAGGCCATGCCCTACTGCCAGGTTACATAAATATTTTCAGGTGGGCTACAAACTTATTAAAAATTGCTGGATTTATTAATAAATTAGTTTAATTCGATTGTATTAGAAATAAATGATAATGCTGTATTTTGCTACTAAACGGTCATTTTATTTTAATTGATGATGTGGAGGTGCCGATCTCAAAAAAGAATTTTTTGTTTTTCGTGTTCTTCTTTTGCATTAGAAAAATGATGTAGCATAATTAGACGGAACGCGTGATTTTAACGAAATATAAATAAATAAAAGGCGCTCCGGAAGTATTCGTACCAGGATGACGCACAGCCTGAACCCTAACCTGGTACACATACTATGTTCAGGTTGTGCACCATCTTGGTACACATACTTCGGGAGCACCTAAAAATTGTAGAATTACGAAGGCTATGCTTTTGTACTAGGAATAAAAAAGAAAAACAGCTTGCATGTATGGTGTTATGATGAGAAAGATGAGCCAAATAATCTCAAACCCGAAATGTACTGGTAGCCGGGAGAGAGTCCGACATTTGCTATTTGATGAGCCGTCCTATCGGCTCTCCTCTCACATAGCGAAATCACGCAAATCCTATCTTAAGTAAATTTTAATATTCGAATGGTAATCAGACGAGAAGTCGTATTTGGCCATATTGTTAAGTCGTCTTATCGTGAGTTTAAGTTAACGAGAACAGCTTTATGCGGTTAGAACTAAAATGGCTTCAGGCCGTGGCGGATGCCAATATTTAAGCCTGGGGTCGGTAACCTTTTGTCGTTCGCGGGCCAAAATTAAGGGTTGCAAGTCATTGGCGGGCTGCACATATTTTTAGAAAGTTTAAACCCGAACGGATACTCTTCATAATAAAAACCAAGCAGTGATGCATCTCTCGAATAAAATATAAATTTATTTTCTCATTGCATCTCAAAAATCCCATTTGAATATTTTTGGCGCCATTGAACCTTTTGCACTTAGCATCAACTTTTCTGCGTTTTGTTGCTATTTATCTAATTATAATTGAATTATAGGCTCATTAAACGAATAATCGTGAATTTTATACTTGTAAGATTATAATATAATTTATTCTACACGTGTCTCACAATAAATTCTGTTACGTAAAGAAAATAATTGTCCAAACAATCGTTTTGTTACTATAATTCAGTGAAGCGTCGCGGGCCGGATTATAGTACTCCGCGGGCCGGATCCGTAGGGCCGCAGGTTGCCGACCCCTGCTTTAAGCGAAGCCGTTACTATACGTGAATCGCGAAATTTCACAAAATTTGAAAGTTGGAGATTTACGATACACGTTATTTGTATAAATGAATAGTAAAATAGTAAAATGGATTTAACTTGAAGGGTTTTGATTTACGCCGAGTCGCAATTTGCATAGCCTTCTCCCCATGATAAAATCAATTTGGATTTTAGTGAAGGACTGGGTACCAAATGTCGAGATATTTTTTGTTTTGAAAAGCGATTTAGAGGTGTTTGAACTAACCGAAATAGATGAAACTATGCGCTTATATAGCTTGGATAACTTCGACAGCTGAGCAAGTCCGCGTATAGTTTCTTTAACATGTTGTTAGATTTCAGTAGCTGCTTCTTACCTGGTCTTGGTCGGAGCGAAAGTTAAAAGTAAACGTTGTCTTAGAAAAATTAATTTTAGACCCCGCCACAAGGTTTTGGGAGGCACAAGGCTCTTGGAAGGCACAGCTGCAGAGTCCAGCTGAATTTACTTGATCTCTGAAAAGCAAAAAATTGTCTTCGAATCTAGCACTGAACTCACGACAAAAAAAATCTTGAATCTTGTTCAATGCGAAGGCATGTGAAGGCACATACCATTCTGTCTCAAATCCGTAAAAATAGAAATAATCGTACTAATAGTGTTTTGATTATCTTTTAGTTACTCTCGTAGTGTGTTTGCCAGGTTAGAGGCCATAATTTTATTCCGATTTTCCTTATTTTAGTTTTATTACGAGTTCGGGGACTGTTTGTGTTAGCCAAGCCAATATACTTCTGTCCATAGGTTTCAGTCCCTTTACACAACTTTATGTTAAGTAGGCGGACAAAATTGGTTACCTCCATATTGGTGCTAATACTTTTGAAGGGCCATATTTTATTTTATAATAATAGTGAAATGAGTATGGGTATCATAGGCTCATTAGTGTTGCTATGTTTGTTGTACTTGATGGCTTATGATCCAGTGAAAGCGGACAGCAAACACTTGGTATGCAAAACCGTTGAAGATATTTTTGATGAAACCAACCAGAAAGGATTACCATCAGATCCAAATCCACGTCGACGAGGAATTCCGGGGAAAAGAGGGCCACAAGGGGTTAGAGGTCAACCCGGGCCACGTGGACCGAAGGGTGAAGTAGGTGACCCTGGTATCGTGAACTATGAACGAATAAATGCAACCATCGAGGAGATAGTCCAAGCAGGTACAGCAGTATGAAATATATGTTTAGGATAGAATTTACATATTTGTTCCATGGGAGAGGAAAGTAGATAAGAGGTCTTAATTATGTAGCGAACCACGGCCTCTCTTCCGGTTACCAGTCCATGTTGGTATGAGATCAGTCAGCAAGTTATTTGTTACAGATACATGGGACTTGAACGTGGAGGTAGCCGTAACGGACCAGCGGTTATGTTAATCACCCTACTGCGACGAGGAGTCCAGCAATCTTCTCGCACATAATTATCCCCACGAGATTCGAACCTGCGAATCCACGTAGAGTAATCAGAGATGCAGTGTCAAGCGCATTCCTAACGCTCAGCACGATGCGCCACACCGCCGAGTTTAAGTGACGATACTGCTCGACCAGATGTTTTGTGAAATCAATCAACGGCGCTTAATATGCCGTTCGCTTCGAACAAGGCTTTGTACAAGCAACCAAGGCTCGAGGGTGTGGCGCATCTTGCAAAGCGTTAGGAATACTCTCGCCACCGAGTCTCTGATTACTCTGCGTGGGTTTGCAGGTTCGAATTACATGCGGGGATGGTTATGAGCAAGAGGGATTAACCTGCAGGTTCGGGTTTGGCCATAATTTTATTCCAGTTTTCTTTATTCTAGTTGTAATACGAGTTCGGAGACTAGCCAAGTGACTCCTGTAGTATATTTGTACCTGAAATTATGGCCTAACCTTAACCTGGTACACATACTGCGTTCCGGTGTCGCCCAAATAACTGGCTAACTAATCCTCTACTCAACATGGATTGGTAACCGGACGAGAGGCCGTGGTTCACAATATGATTGAGCCTTCTTCTTTCCCTCTTCCCTGAGACAAATATGTAAATCCTATCTACTCATATATGTAGAGAACTACTGTTTTTAGGAGGTGTGTGAAATCTTTCTGGATGGACATTGTCTACCAAATTTATTACACAAAGAGAGAGACATGGAGCTGGGCATAGGATTCGAATCGATATGTGTGTTTGGATTCTGACCATGTCAACAATCCATGTTTAGGTTTTACGTGCTTAAAAGAACGAATAAGTAATCTTATACCATAAAATTTCAGGAATGGACGAAATGGCAGACATCATAGAAGAAAGAACAATGGAAAAAATAAGACGGGCACAAGAAGAAGGTAAGAACGAAAGTTTGCAGATTAATATACCAATATGTATGTGGCAAACAGTGCTAAGTAGGAGCCTTTAAACTGAACCCCGAGTAGTGGGTCAAGTCGAGTCACGGATTTGAGCATATCCTTGTGCCGCGAGATTTTACAAATTTTATATTTAAAAAAATTTGTGTCGTTTGAAAAAAAGTTAAAGGTTAAAGTTATTTTATGGAAACATTTCACAATGAAAATTTTCCGCGCCTTCATCCGAATGGCGCATGTTGCTGCCACACCCTATTTACGCCACTAATCTAACGGTATGTAGGCAGCTACTGTTTTTAAGTCGGAATCTTTCCGGTTACGCATTGCCTACCCAATTCATTACACCCTACATTTTTGGTCCCTGGTCCAATAAACTTGCCCACCCCTGCTTTCGCATTACGTCCAATATTTTTTATTTAAATTTTCTTTGTGCAGAATGCCCTGGGATAAGATATCAGCGGAAATGCTATTGGAGTGTCATTCACACCAGTAGGGACGTTTCATACGAACAAGCCTTGCAGATGTGTAGAAAGAAATCCGGATACCCGGCTGATATATTAAACTCCCAGCTCTACACTATGGTTTCCAACTACGTTAGAACCAACCTACCGACATCGACAACTGCAGTGTACTTATGGATTGGAATGACTTACAACCCACAGGTGAGCAGTCGGGTGCTGAAAACCAAATTATACTCTCGCGAACCAAAGTAGTGGACATGCTTATGACCAGTGGTTTAGAGACTTTCACCCATCATGGACTCCTCACTTTATGCTCCCTGCCCTCCTATAAAAATACTTGGTTCTAATTTTGACGCCTTTCCGTGAGATATATTATAGGCTTATAGGGTGTCCATAGAGTCTTGAAAAAATTTAAAATGGCAAAGGGAATTTATCGAACTTATCGACTAAAACACAACAAACCTGGTTGAGATATACTGAGAACTCCAAAATTACCGGGGTCCGGTCTTTCCAGAAAGTTATATTTTGAAATCCATAAACGCGCACTTCCTCGGCCGGTTAATAATTTTTCGCTAATCCTGATTGTTTATTATGGCGATACAGTTCGTTCCATATTATAGTCAGGTGCAAATATGAGCAACTTATAAAATAACCTTTAAAATTATAAAAGTCATTTAAAAAATGAAAAGCTTCACATATCCAAAGTTGGGACAATGACCCAAAATGAGGAATTAGGTGCGGTTTGAATTGAACACTAGAAAGGAAAGATACGGATTCGGACACTGTCCACCTGTTGAGTATCCTTGGCCTAGGAGGCCATACCGTAGGCGTAGGCTCATACGGAAGACGTGGCCCGCCCGCCTAGCTTGAACCCCACTAGGACAGAGTATCTTAGTATGTGAAAAAAAAATTAACTTATTTTGTGTGTCTTCGTTACAGACGAATATACTGAAGCTCTTTGACGGCATCAAAGCACCGTACGTCACCTGGTATCCAAACTACCCAAAAACCATCGAAGATCGCACCGGTATGGGATTTCAAGTGGACCGTGACGAAAATTCTGAAAATCAGGGAATGTTCAACTGGCATGACAACCAATGGGGCGTTCTTTGTGAGATGTGATGAATGTTCCCCCCAAGCATTTCCTTGTATATATCCGTGTCAGTGGCTAATCAGCAATAACTTGACGGTTACGTAACATTCGATTTTTTAAATCCGACTCAATGGTTGTTAACTCGTTTTTTTCTATTTTAACCGCTATTTTTCAGTTATGTGTGAAATGTTTTGTGTAAGTCAAATAAACAATTTGTCATCGGAAGGGTTTTAATATAATGAAGAATTGCACCAAATGCATATACACGAAAAGGGTGAAATAGTGATTTCAAACGAGTAAGCCATTTTGTGAGTGCCAATTCGCGAAAACAGTGACAGAATAAGCATAGATACTTTTGCATAGGTAAAATATAGAAAGACTTTCACTGGGCATAATATGTCAGTAATCATTCATTGGCACAATTGTTACTTCAAGTAAAATTAATCTTCTTTCATTAAAACAAGTGCCTAGAAACATGTAGCGTTGATTTAGAACAGGGTGGTTCAACCCCAGGCTTGCGGGCCACATGTGGCCCACCGATTCATTATCTGTGGCTCGCTTCGCCTTTGCTGAAGGGTAATAAAAAAATCTCATTTGATGTTGTTTCATCATTAAAATAATTAGAAAGCGTTTTTGACATCTTTTAGATATATTTTTTTAGATTTTTAAAAAACTTTTGCATGTTCCGGTGATTTTTCTGGTGTATTTTGCATGTTTTAGCTTGAGAAATGACAGATATTGATAAATTGTTTGCACAATAAAATGTTTGTTTCGTATTGCCTTATTGTGGCCCGCGAACAATGCAAAAATAATTTTGTGGCCCCCGAAGGCGACAACCTTGGACCACCCTGATTTACAATGTATGAGATTCGCAAATATGAGCCGTTTTTCTAGTTTTTATAAAACTTTGCTCAAAGCAAATTTATGCACTCACGAAGAAAAGAGGTTAATCTCCGAGAGAAATTACGGTTGCGGGCGACTACTATAGTGCCACGAACTACAGAGACATGGGGTTTGCAACATTTTTGTCGGCCGGCCATATTATCAACTCAGACATCTGGCTGGGCCACACAATATATTTAGTCGTTCCATGTACAAAACGACTTAAAACATTAGAACAATTCAATGCAGTGACAAGAGAAACAAACATTACCAGTATTTATACCCATGTAAGCGCCTTTTAAATAAAACAGGATATAAGCTTGATGGGGAAACATCTAAATGTTGACAAGAACCACATTAAATAGCTTGGCGGGCCGGGTTGCGACCGCGGACCACGGTACCTGTTGCTCACTTCTGTACTGAGACTAAAAAAATAACAGAGTAGGGTAGCGCCCACAATTCGAAGACCACTTAAAATGCAATGATTGTTTTTATTTTTACTTACGTATCAAAGGCGAATCAGCAATAAGGTATCCTTCTCACTTATTTCCGCGAACCTCAGTTGTTTTAGAAATTGGATCTTTTGTACAAACCCGCCGTCAGCGCTCAAAATAAGAAAATTAGTAATTATCCAGCTACGATTTAGGTGAGTGTTGGGAATGCAGATTGCGCTTGCTATTCAAAGAAAATGAATCCGATGCCGGCCAATATGATCAGTCAAATAAATAACACATTATTATAAGTTACAAATAGTTTTATTAATAATAACAAAGTATCTAGCAACGGCTAAATTTGTAAACACCCCCCCCCCCCATTTAAATAAAAAAGATGGGGGACATAATGGTATGCGCCACGTAATGTTGCAGTTGACTGATGTGAATGAAAAAGACGCGAATCTAAGATGTTCACTTATCGATTATTTTGTTGTTTCAAGTCTGTGGATGCTTTTTCAAGTGCGAAGCCTCGCTATCTTTTCGAAGTGCATCGTCTGGCTGCAGTTTTCGATGAACAAACCCGAAAAACTAATCTAAAATCGACACAGATAGATTTATCTCACAGTGCTTTTACTCAAAGGTGGGTTATCACGCGAACTTTTTTGTTGAAAATTTGTTTCTAAATATTTTTTTAAGATTTTTAACGTTTACCGCTTGCATAAAGTGGACTTTGTTTTCTACTTATGAATTTTTAAAAAGCGCTTCAACGAAAATCGACCCAGGTTCGGAAACGGCCCTTGATGACGTAGTAGTGAGAACTCATTCCAGAAATTAGCTCCCTCGGCATTTGCGAGTAAGGTGTTCAACCTCTGTTTTTGGCGTTTAAATCTAGTTTCTCATCGCGTAGTTTAATACATATTGAAACAATAATGTATTGTTAAACATAAATGCTAATGCATAAGAAGTTCTGAATGTGAGGGGATCAAGCCACGGCGTTTTATGTAATGATCGTACCGGTACTGACGGCCCGTCAGAAGGCTTTGAAGAACTGATCCTAGAGTATGTATTTACCACTTTATTTCGTGTATCGACTGTTTGATTAAATATTTAGTCAAAGCATAATAATACCCTGTCACACTTTTGTATGAACCAAATACGGAACCGGTCCGGAAGACAGATCCATCATTGTGAAATCTGCTGTAACCACCAACTACACATTCCATACGTTACGGTTATGTTTGCGTATATACCGGTATAGTCAGATAGTCTATAAATATCGAAAATATAACAAAAAGACTAGTTATAGGATCAGATAAACAGAGTAAACACACATCAATTATAAAATCTAAATCATTTGAGACAAAAAATGGCCTGGTATTGCAGGAAAATGTCCGACACAGAACTCGAGTACGTCTTGACCTCGATTAGTTGAGTTCACTGTAATTTCTCATGATGCAATAATATTATTTAAAGATATTGGTATTGTTTTAAATAACAAAAGCTTCCTCCAGATGCACCGCCCAATAGAACTAGCACACAGTTTAAAATAAGTACACAGAATGCGATAATTACCTTTGACCTAATGCAAAGTTTCGCCGACGAGTTCTCACTACTACGTCATCAACGGAACATACTAATTTGCGTTCGATTTCGGCATGGCCGACTTTTAAAAATTCGAGTCTCGCAAACGAAGTCTATTTTATGCAAACGGGAAACGCCAAAAATATTAATAAATTATATAGAATCAAATTTTCTACAAAAATGTTTGCGTGATAACCCACCTTTAATATCCGGGTTTAAAGCATCTCTGTGCATAATAGACACACGATGCAAATCCAGCGCCATTTAGGTGACATGTGTGGAGTGTGATCAGATAAGCGCGTTCATTAATGACTCATATAAGACCAAGTGTGACTTGATAAAATCATATCTAGAAATTCTTTATTAAGTCACATATCTACTGCGTATGGTTGTATGACATCATAGACTATTAAAATGCTTCCGCCTATAGGTAGTAGGGATGGGCCGGGATTCGGATCCGAACTTGAATTCGAGTCGAATCCAAGCATTTTCTGGAATCGGACTCGATTTCGAGTCCACGTCATTTTTACCGAGTCCATAATCAATTCTGTTTTTACTAATTTACGCCTATATTTGTACTTTTGCCTCTATAAATCTCACTACATACCATAACTAGTTAAAATTCAAGGCTAGATCTGTAACAATATCCCTCGTGTGCATTATAAACACTCCTAATAAAACGACGACAGATATCCAGATAATATATTGCAAGTTAAAAACTATTGATCGCTTATAACAATGAAGTTGCGCCAGTCGCCTTCAGACTATTTATTCTTTTTGGTATACATGTGGTACACAATAAAATATGTTATTGCAATATTTTTGAGTTTTTGATTTGCGTAAAAATGAAACATGCTCTGGATCTACCCAATGGGGAATCTCATCAATACCTCTTTTAAATCGAGTTTATTGCGTGCAATCCTTTCGCTAAAAAGGAAATGGAAAGCATGGAGTGTTTTAGAACGTTTACATGAACTACTAAATTGCAAGCAGATGTACCACATTGTATTGACGACGAGTAGCATTTCTCTACCATATGCGCACATGACATAGTAAATTTACGGCTAGAAATATCTGGAATTATGGGAAAGCATTGTAGTCAAAAGCTTTTTATTGGACACGTAGTGGACATAACGATCGTTTCAATATTATGTTGTTGTTCTTGTTCTTTGACACGTTTTTAAAAAGTCGCTTTTCTCTTCGAATACTGGACCAATTGCTTTGAAATTTTCAGTGGTTAAAGATAAAAATTTTCTCCAGAAGGCTATTACTTTTTTTTTCGCTATGACGTCATCAAAATTATGTGACTCTACGTGTCCATATATTTGAGCATAGCTCTCTTGTTGTTCATATTGACATGTAAGTATTTCTGAATAGCCGCCCAGAGTTGACGCAAGGTGGGCTGGAAATCCAGTTCACAGCCAAGGCGCACATTGATCACGTTTACGTTTGTATTATGGCCGCCAAAAAGAGAAAAATATATATTTAAAATGATTCAACAGCTATCTGCGGAACCATTAGGCAAAAAATATGAGCTACGACGTATTTCTGTGAGCGCACGATGCTGTAGCATGGTTACAAACACGTTTTTCTGCTTTTCCATTATGACGTCACGGACTCGGCAGATTCGATTCGAGTCCTTGACCTATTACTCGGATTCGTCGAATCTCTGTAATGCCGAACTCGTCCCTTCCCTAATAGGTAGCAACTGTTGAAAACCCGTCTATAAGATCTAATGATATTACACTTCTAAAAATGTAAATTAGTTCCACATATGTTATATAAAGCAGTGGTCGGCAACCACCGGGCCGCGGCCCGTCACCAGTCCGCGGAAAGGTTACTGCCGGTCCGCAGAGAGGTGACACAAAAACGGACAAGGCCGTAATAAAACCTCCACAATCTAACCACAAACCCTACGACTAAAAACAGCACCCAACAGTAAACCAGACAAACACAACACCAGGGGTCAGAAAAAATGAGGCCCGCAAGCTAATTTGTTGCGGCCGACATTTAATATATAAAACAAAAATCAATCCCAAATTTATTATTGTCTCTACACGGATTTTTGTGGTGACAAGTGCTGCTGTACGACTCTTCTTATGTAACAAGTAGCGTCAGTTGTATGTCGTTCGAGTTAATTTTGATTTTTAAAACTTGAAAATGTCAACAGAGCGACGCGGGTCGAGCATTCCAAAGTGCTGAAAAATATTTTTTTTCTTGCGCATTCCAAAACACCGGTTTGCTCGATATGCCCAGTCAGCATCGTAGTTTGTTAAGGGTTTCAATGTTGAACTCGTTACGAAACGAGTCGTCGAAAATTCGACCCTGAGACTGCGCCACAGCTCATCTGTGCGACAGTGCAATGTGCACGTTCGGAAGAACATATGGCCTTGAGCAGCTTTATCTAAAATGCATTACACTTAGATTAAATTTTACATTGATAATAAGTACATAAAAACATGTTTTACATTGATAATAAGTACATAAAAACAATGTATTGTGGGATAATAATAAAAACGCCAAATATATACATCTCATTGGAACAGGCTTTCAACACAGCAATAGAAGGGTAGCAATGCAAATGCGCCATAATTTGAAGTTTAATTATTGTAGCGATTGTTCGAAGGGGGAAATATTGCGGCCCGCGCGCTACCACAAATGTTTATATTTGGCCCGCAAGTACACTCGATTCGAGTCCTTGACCTATTACCCGGATTCGTCGAATCTCTGTAATGCTGGACTCGTCCCATCCCTAATAAAAACTGAGAAAATCAGCACAAACATCGACAATGACTAATACTGGGAACAGAAGCTTTATCAAATCATAAATCCATCAAAATAACCACTGTTGTTGTAAGAAATTTATTTGTGGTGTGGCGCATCGCGGTAAGGGTTAGGATTACGCTCACCATTGCACCTCTGATTACCGTACGTAGGTTCAAATACCGTGGAGAATGAATATGTGAAGAGGACTGATAGACTCCTCGTCGTCGTAGGATGGTTTACGTAAACGCTGGTCGGTTACGGCTCCCCCTATCATAAAGTCCATGCGTCTGAAATAGAATAAAAGGCCAAATAATCCAATAACCGAAATGTACTGGTAACCGGGCGAGCGTCCGGAGATTTGCTATTGATGAGCCGTCTTATCGGCTCTGCTCTCACATGGGGGAAAACACGCAAATCCTATCCTAGGTGAATTTTAAAACCCGGCATGAAATGACAAACAGACGTAAAGCCGTATTTGGCCATATTGTTAAGTCGTCTTATCGACTTTCCGCTCCTCCGGGATAAAAATGGTATTCTAATCCTAATAATTATTTCAAGGAAATCACGCATGGGTGACCACAGCCCTGAGCGTTTGTATTTTGGCAGCTGGCTTCGTAGTGTTCTGTGAACTTTGGTCGTCACTTTAATTTCGATTTGTATAACGGTACCGGTACTGGTTGGCGTTTTGATATATTTTTTTTTATAAAAAACGTTCATACACCTGTGTGCCTGTATAATATACCATGAATGACGAACAGATCCAGAACCAGCGCCATCTCAGGCTTATGCTAGGAAGAAATAATCCGTATCAAACACTCGTCGCACTTTTTGTTACTGCACTTTTCTTCATGTTTTTTCAAGTAAGTAAAATCCGAGGTTATAAATTTTACAGATAGTTTCTCTTTTTCTTATTTGTTTGTAAGAAAAATCAGGATTTTTCAAGTTTGTGCTATCAGACTGTTAAGGGTGTAATGTACGGTACCGGTACCGTACCGGTACGTTTTACTTATTACGTACCGGTACCGGTACCGGTACTGTACTAATAGATATATCCCATTTTTCTATTTATCTTCCCTTTTTTGAGTTAAGTTTGTCTGCGTGCTGTATTTATGTATGTCTGTATGTCGGAGGCTACAGTATTTTTTTTTTTTTCTGTAAATCAGCATTTTCTTTCAGAGAATTCAATGGTTGGGTTTTCAGATTGTTCTCCCGTTTAGTACCGGTACCGTACCGGTACTGATATAGAGGCCCATGGTTTGCACTCACTCTTATGATTGATATCTTTAAATGTGGGGTCTATTTCTGTATTTTGGGAAAGAACTGTAAGTACGACACACTTTACAGATCGAGCGACATTGTCTCGCTTCAGAGAATCTTATTTTATCGTTGAATGGACACCTCTCCTTTTGTGGACGTCGGGACATTTTTGTCCCTCAATATCGGTAAAAATACAGTGAAATGAAGTTGTGTAATGAACTATAAAGAAGCGCAATCTAAAAACTTCATCATTGAATTCCTTAGGAATAAATAATCTGATTTACCGAAGGAAAATTTTGGCATTCGAGAATTTTTAGCAAAAAAAGCAATTTTGGTCACATGAAGGCCGCGATTAATTTAGATTATTATTAAGACATGCATGGAGCGATATGACTCACTTGCCGTTGCGCCAGAAGCACCTCCTTTGTGATACATAATGAGTGTTTGTTTTATTAAACCAAATGATGGGACATTCTTGGAGTTTGAAAACTGTCGTACTGATTGTGCCGGAATAGACTCTGCTCTTGTAAGGCGATTCAAATACCACTGGTCAGTCATGGCTTTATCCACCGCATAGTCCATGCACGGACTGGTAACCGGACAAAAGGCCGTGATTCGCAATATGATTAGCCGTCTCATCGGTTTTTCTCTCCCCGAAAAAATATATATAATATCTACTGTTTTTTTGGACCGTATATTATCTCAAAAAACTAACTTCTAATTTTTAGGCGAATATTCTTCAAAATTTTCAAAGACATCAAATGATGCTACGCAACAGCGGAAGTGAAACACACAATAAAGCTAAATATGTGAACCATTTTGTACCGGAGGTTAGTGTTATTTTTCGTTATAAGCAAAGATTGATTGAAAAAGGGAGGAAAATCAATCAGTTCGACCCGGGCAGATTGCTAAAGTTTTCATTGTTTTGCATTTTAAAAGTTATTGCCCGTTTTTATATTGTGTATATTATTTATTATGTTCTTTACCTGTTTTGGGTGGACGGCTGTGTGCTTGTACGTCTTTTACTTTGTAAGTTATTCCTGTCACCCAGGTCCTCTGCATTTTGTTTCCGTTTGTTTTGTTTATGTCGGAGTGACCAAAATAAAATGAATTGATTGATCATACTAAACATATTCGAGTGCGTATCCACCATGAAGTAAAAAATAGCATGTCATGGTGAAGGGTTACGCAATAAAATCAGTACTGGTTTCTGAGCAGCGACACTCATGGGAAAATCAAACCAGACAAAATTTAATGCATACCTAACATAAACATTCTCTGTGCACAGTTTATCAAGTTTTCTATGAGTGAGATTTTACCAGCTCTTAAAAATAAAAAAACTCATGCTATCTTTTTCACAATGAATTTGAACTGACTAACTTTGAATATTTTGAGCGATTTGTCATAAATCACGGCCTGTTATCCTTTTACTAGCCAATGTCGTATGTTGGGTATTGGATTAGTTCGCCAGGTATTTGTTTTAGTGTCCAACAGTCACCCTATGACTACGAATGGTCCCATGTGATTGGAAACTGAACATTGAAGGGTAATGCCATGCATGTTCCTTATGTTTAGCACGATACGCAAACTGACAACATGTTTTTATTTTTTAGCAAAGGGCACCAATCAGGCACATCAACCCAAAATTTGCTCCCAAATTTGCAACAGAAATTGGAATAAAAGTTAATGGAACTTTATTAAGAGGAGTAAAGAAGGCTAACAGGTATGGTCAGTACTAGATAATGTAACATTTCATTACTTATCGATTTTAATCGGTAAGTATGTTGATAGGAATTGTCTGTCTGTATGTCTGTTTGTTTGTCTGTTAGATGCACGCGATATCACACAAAAGCGAGATTGAATCTGCTCCAGATTTTGCATGTGCATTCATCTTATCTCGGACCAGAAGCCTATTGATTTTGGGCGAATTGTATCGTATAATTAGCGAGTTATTAATTAATTAGTGATGGGACACAAGGTGTCACTATGGAGTAAGAGCGTTGTTTTGGGGATCGCCTAACTTTCAATTGATAAGTCTTCGGTCTCTGACCGATATTCTCGTTATAATGTTAAAAGGTCACAAGGTACACAATTAGGTGTGGAACTGACCAGAAATCTTGAACGTAATTGAGCCTCGTTCCATTGTGCGGGTAAAGATGTTGAACTGGCCAACATCGCGATTATATGGCACAATCGCCAGCATCACGATTATATGGCGCGATTGCAGGGACGTAGCCAAGAAATTTTTAATTGACAAATACCTAGCGTAAAACATTGGTTTTGAAGTGTCTTGGGGATCTAAAGAGCGTTTCAAGCTACAGAAAATTGGGTGCTCCCGAAGTATGCGAACCAAGATGGCGGACATCGGAACGTAACATGGGTAACAGGTTAGGGTTAGGCGATAATTTTTTTCCAATTTTCCTCATTTTAGTCCTATTATCAGTTCAAAGACTAGCCAATAGCCTCCCGTAGTAATTATACTTAAAATTATGGCCTAACCCTAACCTGGTACACATATTACATTCCGATGTCCGCCATCTTGGTTCGCATACTTCGGGAGCCCCGAAAATTGCTATGTAGGATACACAAATTTTTTCTACACTTTAAAAGGGGGGAGGCCGGGGTAACCGACCGTAAACTCCCCATGGGGTACGTGCCTGTTGATGAAGTTTCTTTCTTGATCTACTTTCATCATTGTGTATTTCAGGTAGATGCTCTTTCGCTAATTTTTGCGGCCACTCTTGAACTCATTTTGCTTCAATCTTGTTGATTACCAATCTTGCATGCTTTCGTCGCGCCACCCATCCCACTTTATTTGAACCATTATTTTTATTTTTAGAAAATATTACCTTCCTAATTCGAACTTTGAATTTGTCTGTTTTGATGGAAATCAATCGATACCGTTTCACGCCGTTAACAATGATTACTGCGACTGCTCGGATGGAAGTGATGAGCCTGGTACGTCAGCATGTGCAAATGGAAGGTAATTAGTTTATCTTGTTCATAACCATAACAACCATTTTTGATACATACCTTTTTTGCCTATTTAGAAACGGCGCGTTTCCTCGTCACTACGGAGAAAAATTCTTTTTCTTTACTGCAGTGGTTCCGAAACTTTGGGCCAGTTACGGCCCTCATAACGGTTTAAAATGGCCCGTCGAACTTGGGTTAATTAACAGTTCGTCTTTTTTTTGCGATCTATATGCCGTCAATTGTTGAATTGCTCTTTGTTTAAGCCATCTTATTGACTTTTTTCCCTCATTGTTAAATATGATGAAATATCCCTCTGTATCCTTCTTCTTTCTAGGTTTTACTGTGAGCCAGAGCATGAATATCTTCCTTCATCGAGGGTCAATGATGGGATTTGTGATTGCTGTGATGGCTCGGATGAGTGGAAGGGTGTCACCGTTGCACCTGACTTGAATTTACCAGGTAAAATTCTAGAGTGCAATAATAGAAGTTTCGTATTTGTCCTGGCGGAGAGAAATGCGGAAAAGAAGGCTTGACTGCATGGCAAACTTGTGGCAACTAACTCTGATGACCCCTAAAGGTTGTATCGTTGCCCCTAGTCATGTACCGAAAACATAGTTTTATTATTAACTATCAGTAAAGGGTGCGTGAGACTAACTCCCAATCCTTTCTCAATGCCTTTCTCTAGTGAGCTCATATGCGTATAATGCAAGGATGTTGTAGCCGGAATAAAAACTGCTTGTCTGAGGAAGTCTGATTTTGGTCAGACGAAACATTACATAAATACATTTGTGTTAGTGTGCAGTAGGACTCTTGAATTGCATATAATAAATTATGGGTTTGAGTATACAGTTTCCTTTACAATTTTTCTCTTTTGTAGTTGGATTACTCCGGCACCTCTTTTAGCGCTCTACTATTGTATTCTTGTTCGGGTATTCAATTAAATTTCAAAATTTTCATTCTTTTTTCTCCAGATTCACCAAAAGTTCTTCTTGCACCTTGCAGTAACGTCTGCAACGACTTTGAACACGAAAAAAGGTTGGAAATGAATATAAAACGTGAAGGTGCCATCGCAAAGAAGGAATATATAGAAATAGGAAAAGGACAAGATGAAACGGTAAGTAAAGTTCTTCATACTAGTGATTCCCAACCAGACTTTCAACAACCAAATGTAAAGGGGACTCATCGCTGAACGAAGTTACTATCACTTACTCAGAAGTAAAGAAGACTTATCTACGAGTGAAGTTAGGCACTCACCTTAAGCGACTTTCGAAAAAATATAAATTTGGTAAAGTCTTGTGACCCAAATATACTCAAATACTAAATGGCATGTAGTACTTTTATGGCCGCATCATTGAACGACTGGTATAACTGCGCTAGTTTGTCCTCTGGCGAGCTTTGAAATAAATTCGTGGTTTAACTTAAGCAAAATAAAATGAATGCTACATATTGTTAAAAAAATAAGCAATTTAATAAAATTTTCAAGCGACACAAAACAGTTTTGATACGCAACCCATAGGTTGGGAAACACTGCTTTACACGATACTTCTTCACAGCTTTGCGATCTGCTTCACTGATTAAATGCGAACACTGCATAATGCGTTTTGTACTTTTCAATATTGTAGCTAAGTAAAGTGAGCATCATCTATTCATAAAAATCAAATTAGTGAAGTTTTATTTGATATGACCATTTATGTCCTTTGCTTAACAAGGCATACACTAATATCTAACGACAGGGGCGTAGACTACGAAACCAGGGGTTTGAACCAGAGAGATGAAATCTGTGCTGCCAATTAGATTAAAATAACGATATAACTGCTAGACCACTCTCGTAGCTCATCTTCGTTGCACAAAATTATGTGGTCATTCAGTAAAAATGAACTCTTTAATTTCAGTAATCAGAATGAAAATTACCACCCAGTATCAGAAACAGCATTATCAATTATTATACATTGCTTCTACAATCAAAATTAATCGCATGGTCTCAAGTGGAACTAGCAATTTTTAAATTGTCTTGTCCATTTCAAAATGTTTCATTGGATCAGCAGTCAATCTTTCATAATTCTTCCCAGTTCAGTAACATATTATCCTTTGTATTTTCAGATGTACGGTGAAAATGGAGTCTACTACAAATTAAGTCAGAACTGTTACATGTATAAATCTCCAGGGTATATATATTCCGTTTGCCCGTACCAGAATGTCACTCAGGTAAAATAGTTTGAACTTGAATTTTTTTTCTATTTTCGTAATTTGCTCAAACGAAAGGGTGAGTGCACTCACTCAGAAATAAAGGGGATTCATTTCTGCGAAGTTATGTGCAACCACTAAAGTGCTAGAAGTTGCCTTGTGGTATTGCGCTTTTAATTTGAGGGTAGGCCGAGGGATTTGAAATTTGCTCGAAGCAAGGTTGAAAAGGCTTTTGGGCAGATTGGGCTTCAGCTTAGAGGTAGAGGGGGTATTGGAAATTGCTCAAAGCAAAATGTGCACATAAATAACAATATTTATCCAAATGTGTGTATAATAAAAATCAAACATAATAAAGCAAAAATTTCTGTATCTGCTGCCCATTTTAACCAAAATCTTTGATGTTTTTTTGTTCAGTTTCCAAAATTTGATGAGGTATATCAGTAGCATTTGTTGTTATAGGAAATATATGTTAATGGCTATAATATTGATAGAATATTGCCATCCTGTATTACATTAGAATGCACTGATTATTTGGTTTCTGTGAGACTAACTCCTTATCCTTCTCCTATGCTTTTGTGTCGGCGGATCCGTATGCATATATTGCAAGGATGCTGTAGCAAAAGTAAAGATAACTATCTTAAGTGGGGGCTCCCGAAGTATGCGAACCAAGATGGCGGGCATCGGAATGTAATATGTGTACTAGGTTAGGGTTAGGCCATAATTTTAGGTATAAATACTACGGGAGGCTCTTGGCTAGTCTTTGAACTGATTATAGGACTAAAATAAGGAAAATTGGAAAAAAATTATCGCTTAACCCTAACCTGTTACCCATGTTACGTTCCGATGTCCGCCATCTTGGTTCGCATACTTCGGGAGCACCCTTAAGTGATTCAAGAGTCTTGCTGCACACTAACACAAATATATTTATGTAACGTTTCGTCTGACTAAGGTCAGACTTCTTCAGAGATACATAGTTGAACTATGTATGTCTGAAGATACATTACCTTGGTCAGACGAAACGTTACAGAAATATATTTGTGTTAGTGTGCAGCAAGACTCTTGAATCACTTTACATTAGAATGGTATAATTTCTTTCTGAGAAATAGAAAGTATATTAGTGAGCTCTATTAAGATCAGCGGTTCTCGAAATTTTTTGCCGGAACACCTACGCTTTTTATCTTGCCTCCTGGAACGGTGACCGTACATTTGAACCCACGTACATTTGAACCCATGCGTATATCCACGGGTTCAATCTATATGCGGGTGCTATAACCCATGGGTTAGGGTTAGTATGGGTTTAACTATCCGTGAAACAAAAAAAATTCCATAGGTGCAATAGCATACAGGTGCAATTGTCATGGGTTCAAATGTAATGGAACCTCCTGGAACGCCTAGAATAAGAAGGTGAAATTAATAATAAAAAATTGTGTAACTTTGTGCATCAACTTGCACAGTCGGCTTGTTACAGCATCTTTTGATGCTTACAGTTTTAAGTTAACAACCCATTGAGAAAGGTGGTTTCCAAAAAAAATTTAGCGTGCGGTAAAATTAAAAAAAACTTGACAATTAAGAAATTAGGCCGACGGTCAACAAAAAATTTAAATAGCGGTTTCTTCAGAAATTTATGCGTTTTGAATCTACTATTTCTGCAAGAACCCCTAATAATGCCGTAAGATCAATAGCAAATATAGGCAATTTTTGTGCTTGCAACTACCAGAAAGCCTGAATTAAATAAAGGTGCGGCCCGCGGCTTCACCCAGTTACTTGTATTTGGCCCGCGAATAAAAAAAGGTTGCACACCCCTGATTTAGATCATAGTTCAACTATTTCAGACAAAAAAAGATTGTTCAATTAGTCATATCTTGTTAGTCTGAATAAGTTAGACCTGAGGTTCTAAATCTTTTTAAGCTTGCGGGCTGGTAAAATTACAAATCCAATTTTGCAGACCGGTAAACCTTCAAAATTTTTCCACATAAGGGACTTGGATAAAAAATCAGCAGAAATTTAATGGCTCTGTCACTGAGTTCAGGATATTCTTTCCAAGCTTTATCCAAAACTGACAATGGCAAGTCTTTATGCTTTCGATGATGTGTTCTGTTATGATGTCATACTCCAGACTTAACGAAACAATCAGCCAATTAGGACTTGGAACAGGCTTAGGACTTCTGACCAAGTTTGGTTTACTCATTAATAGGAGTTAATAAAAAATAAATTGGCAGGCCAACAATGTCTATCATTTTGCAATTGAGTTATATAGGCCATAGGGTGTTGTTTTTTATCAGTAATTGTTCAAGTATTTTTAATTAATTTAATACATCTGCAAGGACCAAAACAATATATGGTATCAATAAATTCACTTTTCAACATTTTTAAGACACCTTATCACTGTTCTTACTTTCTCTTTAGTCTGGCAAAGATTTCTGGATAATTGGAAGAAATGGGACGCTCAGCGATAAAACCTCAATCCTAACTATGACTGGGGGTGATAAGGATCACTGCCCTGATGGAAAAGCACGGTCTTCAGTGGTAAGTTTCTCATTTTACACTGATATTTCTCAAGTCTTTTACCCCTTTTTAGAATTTGTCAAGTCTTGCGCCCGCCTCAAAAATATCTAGCTAACAATAAGCTACAAATAACTGATAGTAAGACGAAAGTATTCAAAAGCAGTTTGAAAATATGTGCACGTAATTAAGAAATGTGAACAATAAATAAATGTAAATATCCAAAATAGGGCAGCAATATCAAATCTGACAAATATTTCAATTTTAATTGGCTTCACTTTACTCAGGGATGAATCTCCTTTTCATCTTAGTGAGTGTCCATAACTTTACTCAGAGATTAGCCTCTTTTACTACTGAGAGAGTGCAGAGATGAGTCTCTTTTACTTGAGAGTGAGCGCCCCTAATTTTACTCAGAGATGAGTATCCTTCCCCTCTGAGTGAGTGTTCGAAACTTTGCTCAGAGATGAGTCCCTTTTACTTCTGAATGAGTGCCTGTAACTTTGCTCAGAGATGAGTCTCTTTAATCCTGAATGAGTGCCCGTAACTTTGCTCAGAGATGAGTCTCCTTTACCTGTGAGTAAGTGTCCATGACCTTGCCTATTACAGCAAATACTTTTGGATGATAGGACAGTAATTTTAATCTTATAATCTTTGTATACAGATACAATTCAATTGCGCACCAGCAGACAAAGTACGCTACGTCTCAGAGAAAGAAACTTGCGTTTATTCTGTTAAATTTGACACTCCAGCCGCTTGTCCAAACCAAGAAGACACATGATATTAATTTTGTTCAAGTCTCGGAACGGTACCTCACTATGAAATTATGCATTGGAAAAAACTCGTCCATGTTCCAGATCAGGTCTTTCCAGACTTTTAATCTAATAACCGACTCCTTCTAATATATTAAATTTTTCTGTGACCTCCCGTTTGTGCCATTTCTCGGGTCTTACGATCAGAATCATCATTGTTGTGCAAGTGAGCCTCAGGTCTGATCCCGTGTTCCCTCTAGAAATCGTGAGATTTATGTTTTGCACTAGTTTTGATAATTGTGTTTCAAATCAAAAGTCTAAAAAAGTATTTTATGTGAAATTGGTATATACTTTGCAAACCCTAGAATTCGCTGAGTGCCCGCAACCCCCTGTGGGGTTGTGACTCCAGTTTTTTATTATATATCTTTTTTATTATAAATAAGCAGGCCCTTAATTTCCGATATTATAAATTTAATGAGATATTAAATCTTGGGTGTCGCTACACGATAAACAGTATTGATTTCCCGCTGCTTCCCTTCACCAGTAAAAGTGTGTATGGATATTATTTTTCCTTAATTTCGTATTCTATTAAACATGATCGTCACTATGAACGGAAGCTGACAAAAATTCTTGGTATTGCATGGAAATATATTATGCTATTTTTATTTATCGTCCACGTTATCGCGGCTTTGTGGCAACCGCTAGTTAAAACTCAATTAAAGTAGGTAAGGCAGGGGTCGGCAAACTCCGGCCCGCAGGCCGGATCCGGCCCATGGAGCAATATCATCGGGCTTGCGACGCTTCACTGAATTATAGTAACAAAACAGCTGTTTTGATGATTATATTCTTTACGTAACATATTCTTTATGTAGACTAGATTATATTTTAACGTAACAAGTGTATAATTCAAACTTGCTCGTTTAATGAGCCTATAATTTAATTATAAATAGACAAATGGCAACAAAACGCATAAAAGTTGATGCTAAGTGCAAAGGGTTTAATGGCGCAGAAAATATTCAAATGGTCAGTCTTCGCACGCTGCTTAAAATTTAACTTTTGATCTGTGTAGAAAAATTTGATTCATCGGCCATCCATTCATTTTTTAACTTTCTGAAAATATGTGCGGCCCGCTAATGACTTGCAACCTTTGATTTTGGCCCGCGAGCGTCGAAAGTTCGCCGACCCCTGAGGTAAGGAAACAAAACCTGCAACTACAGTTTAATATACAATATCATTTGTAGAAAATATGTTGCCATTGATTACTCTGGAGATAATTTGTCAACATGCTATCGGAATTTTAACAATCTTGATATTCTATACCAGCGTTTCCCAACCTTTTTTGGTCGCGGACTATTTTCTCACCGGCAAAACCCTTTGAACCCGTGAACACTAAAATGCGTGGTAAAGTGCCCGATTATGTTTTGTTTTGATTCGTTTTTTTTGTGAATTCGTCAAATCTGATCTGTTCGTACAACACTTACTGCTTCAGTACTGTACGTATCAATGTGGCGGCAGTAAAGCAAAGAATCCTAAGGGGAAATGCCCTGGTACGGTAGCATCCAAAATTTTGCGATTTGCAATGTCTAAAAAAGCTTTTTTAATCGGTCGCGGACCGTCATAAAACAAAACTTATGGTGTTCTCCGTTTTATTTTTAGTATTTTGTATTGCCGTTTTTTAATTTAGAAAATTTGGGTTGCCACCATTGACACCAACGAGAAAAAAAAAAATTTCTCGTTGTGAGAACTCGCAAGAAACACCACTTAGGTATTTATCGAAGCGTGTGCAGATTCGTGTTTTCGACGGAAATCCGCAAGTGAGTTGTGAAATCCGGTTCCATTACATTTAAACCCACGTACATTTGAACCTACGACAATTGCACCTGCATACTATTGTACCTATGGAAATTTTTTGTTTTGTTTAACGGATATTTGAACCCATACTAACCCTAACCCATGGGTTTTAGCACCCGCATATAGATTGAACCCGCGGATATACACATGGGTTCAAATGTACGTGGGTTCAAATGCACGGTCACCGTGAAATCCAATCGTCTGATTGAGCGCAAGTGACCTGTCGCGTCACCTGTTACCAAATTTTCGAATAGTCATTTGCTATTCTAATAGTTGAATATTCGAATATATGCCCAGATATACTCAGTAACCAGTAAGTATTGACTCGATTAATGTTATGTTACTTACCGTATTTTCTCGACTATACGCCTATCACGCGGATAAGCCGACTCCCTAATAACAGCTTCGAAATAGTGAATTTATAAAAATTCGCCTATACGCCGTTTCCACAAATCGTAACATGGCGCATGCATCTATTACAGTCAATGATGTTCAATTCAAATTTAATATTCAAATATCGCGATTCGCTACCTTCTTGTATATGGCACACACATTCTAGCGCCGCTGTCCACATTTTGAATAAAACAATTTTCGATTATTATATTTTCTGTTTTATCGTAATGGAAAACAGCACTTTGCGGCACAACTAAATTACTGCCAACATGAAAGGAATTAAATCAGCGCCGACTTGAAGTACCAAACGTATAACATGAGAACATTTTTGATTGAAAATATTTTGCAATCATTATTTTATATTAAGGTAGTCGAGATATCCTGAGCGGACACGGCAATAAATTTGGTTATTTTTCACAAGTCTTCTCAAACATGATCTGTGTGAGCTTCATATATGGGCTGATATATTTTATAATGTCTGCCAAAGTGTCTGCCGATTATTTAATTGACTTTGTATACCAGCTGTTATTTGTCTTAATCCTAAAAACAAAAACGTGGCCGGTGCAATGAAGCACTCCCTGCCCGATAACAGCACTTCAGAAAGAAAACGGCTACCACGAAATAAAGTGATTGATTTATGACCCTTCCGTTTTGCTGATTCAGGAAAAACCGAAAACACAGCTTTTGCCTAACCCATGGACGTACAGCACAGTATTTATCACATCATATTCATAGGTTATTTTAACCTTTCAGTTACCGTAAATGGTTGTTCAAAATGATTGAAATTACAGTTTTATTGTTAAGAATTGATGCTGTGAGTATTATTCTACCTGAAACTTCTATCTGATTCTTACTTGTGCACAAATGATAACGTTTTGACCACGAGACGGCTGGTAGATAGATCAATGCTGTTGCTCTTATGCAAAAGATACAATTAAATTTAATCAAATACAAGCGGTCACGTTTATGATCAGACAATCACACCTAGACAAGCGATCGCGTGTGTGGTGTGCTCTTCATCGTGAGAATTAAGTATGGTTTGTAGCTGTTGCAATTACCGGCAAGTCAGCATTATATCATTTCGTTGCGTGATCAAAGTCTCGATGCGCGAAGGAGCCGATTTTTTGGTGCTATCTGAGTTATGCGCGCATAAGACGGTCCCTTAGTTGGGCAACTTTTTTTTTGAGTTTTAAACTCGGCTTATTTGCGAATAAATACGGTACTAAACTTGCTTTTTATGTTTTATGTAAATTCTAACGTAAATCGCTGAATTCTAACGTAGATTCTAACGTAAAACGTGGCTGAATTTCTGGCTCGTTGCAGACTCATTCAAACGCTCCGTGGACTCATTTGAGACCGCGGACACGGGTTGGGAAACACTGTTCTATACTCTATAGCTTATCTTTTTTTATCATTAATTTTATGTTTTTTTTTCATTAGCAGAATTTATTACTTTTTAAGCGGTGCTTCTGATCTTTGCTTCAAAGAAAACTCACTGATAACAGTACGCCTTTAGCTTGAAAGTGATCATCTTTGAAACGGCCTATGCCAGCGGTTTTTTTGAACTTTCGGTATTTGCTGTCCACTTTACAAAGACTCAGCGCTAGCTAGCTAGTTTTGATATCGACATGTTTTCATAAATTAATTCATTCACCGTGTTTAATAATATAAAAGCCAACAAAGGAAGTAAAATAACTACAGTTAAGGAAATAAACAAATCAATTTCCTCAGTGGTTCTTAAACATTTTTAGCCGCATCACCCTCGTTTTTGAATTTGTTTGCGCTCCACCTAAAAAATAACCAGTTAAGAATAAGATACAAATAACAGTGAAAATTGGTGTACATAGTGAAGTAAACAATAAAGAAATGTAAATATCCAAAATGGCTGGCAAGATCAAATCTATCTTGTACCCCCTATGAGGGAGGTAAAGGGTTAATTTGGGAAAGCCTGGGCTTAGTTATTATTTAAAATGGAGCTTTCTTCTTTATTCAGTTCTTTTTCTAATACTTTTTAGATTTGTGGCATATGTATGTAATTTAATGCAAAAACCAAAAAGAATATATATGTATCATGCTCTATTTTACTTTATCGTTTTATTGTTGCATTTTTTATGTCATAATTATTTAATATATGTTAAATATTGTTTCGTGATGACAAAGTGTTGAACGAGGAGTCTGCAAATTTTTTGTCGTCGGTGGGTCATGTAACCAACCTAAGACATCTAGCTGAGCCACAAACGGGTATTAGGGTTACATACGTGTCACGCTTTTGCGTGCGCTCAGCGAATAACCTTCCACTGTTATGTGGGATATACTTTTAATCAATAATATTTTTGAACATATCTAGTTTCATAGAATTGTATCTTTGCTGACATGAAGCAAAATTTTTACTTCGACTCGGGTTGATTCATATTTCTTGAGTCGATATTTATAATGAAGCATCATTCTGCCTAATATTAGCACTAATTTATGAGTTATTTATGTATATTAAGTATGAATAATCATTCTAGCTAACTAGATATTTCTATTATTATTATTATGAGTTGTTTTTCATTCACTTTTTTTCTCAAGTAGGGTTTTAGATAAGTTACTAATGATATGCGAAGGGCAAGGGCTGCTGTATTTCGGAAGAACCGGGATTATCGTATTTTTCATTATAGTTTGCACCCCTTATTCTGACGGCGAAATTTGAACTTGAAAATGGGTATGGTACACGTAGAAATATGGTATTTATTTCATTCGAACAGAGCATGCTTATTTGTTATGCATTCTATCTACATATGTGTCAAGTTTTGTAATTAAATTAAACAGAACATTATTTTGATTGTATTTTCTGAAACTTGAAACTGCAACATGACCATTTTCAAAAAACGTTTCTTGTAGATGTTATTGAAATATTTAGAATTTTTATTTCGACTCTATATCCACAGCTTTCATATTGAGCAAGGCCCTTTATATGTAGTCACTGATGCATGAGGAGCAACTATTTTTAGAAGAACCCAGATCGCCCCTTGGTTCCCGTCAAAATATATTAAGAACAGTAGTGTACTAGGGGAACTTGGATATTGTGTATTGAACTGCAGGTCCTTTCTCCTTGTTTACTTTCTACTTCGGATCCGTATGTGGTACTCACCACAAGGATGCTTGAACGAGATAGTATTAAAGTGACAAGTAAAAATGACATGATCTCTTTCAACGAAATAGTAAGTATATTTGTGAGCTTTCGTTAGATCATGGTCTAACTTCTTCAAACAATACAAGATATATTGATTACTTTCTACTTTGGATCCGTATGTGGCGCTTGTATTGTTTGAAGAAGTTAGACCATGTCTATATGGCATTCAAGGGGTGATCGAGACCATCTGGCTAGATTCTGGACGCCTAACTTTTACTTGTGTTTCTTAATAATGTAGTGTATTTCAGAGTAAGC